AGCAGTCAAGGTGAGTACGAGGCTATTGTTGAGTACTTTGGTCGGATATTCTCACAGGGCCCCGATGTTGATGGTAGCACACTCACCATAATGAAGCCCTATAATGTCACCGACGATGAGATCCTTGACAGCCTTAGTAAACAGAAATCCGGCAAGGCAGTCCCGCCGGGATGCGTCCCACCGGAGGTCTGGAAAGCTTTTCGAGAGCTCTTGCTCCCCAGCCTGCGCAGCCTGTACTCACAGCATCTGCAACCTGGCGTGCTCTGTTTTCCAATGCATTGGCGTGACGGCTGGCTGTGCCTCATGCCAAAACCCAACAAGCCTACTAAAATCCCCTCTAGTCTAAGACCCCTTGCGTTGCAGTGCCCCACTGGCAAATGCCTTGCCCGCATCATTAAGAATAGAGTCCTGGATGTTGTGCTTCCGAAGCTAGAGGCTGTCCCGCAGTTCGCATACTTGCCGGGTCGTTCCACCCAAACTGCGATTGCCAGAGTCGCTCAGAGGTGTGACACAGCCAGACGCACACTGCAGAACTCCAGGCGAGAGGTGCACGATCGGCGCGCCGGCGCGCCCAAGCCCATAGTCGCGGGAGCCGCCATACTTTCCATCGACATGTCGAAGGCTTTCGACCAGGTAGATCATCAGTACATGGCATCCGCGCTCCGATTCGTGGGTATCGACGAGGATACCATAGCCATTATCCTTGCGTTGCACCGCGCAGAGTATCATGTGCGCCATAAACAGCATGAGGGCACCATTGCCCTCAGAAATGGCATAAGACAGGGATGCGTGTTATCACCTCTGTTATGGGCATGTGTAACCGCATACATGCTGCATCGCGCCGAGCTCCAATCGGCCAACGCCTGGATAGCTGACGACGTCACTGCATATGCTGACGACTTTGCCAGCGCCTTTGATCTCAGTACGGTCGAAGATGCCCGGGTCATGACAAAACGCGTTCAGTCACTTTTTCAGGCGCTAGCAGAGGCGGGCATGCAAGTCAACGCTGACAAGTCGCACTTACTCTTGCGTGCCACTGGGGTTGCATTTCAGCAATGGTTGAAGAAGCATGAAACCTATGTTAAGAATCGTAGGCACCTTAACCTGGGTACCCCCTTCCAACCCATCCTCATCCCCATAGTTGATCGCATTGAGTATCTTGGAACTGTCATGAGTTTCGGGCTTTACGAGGATCAGACAGTCCAGCTCCGCCTCAAGGCGGCACGCACCACAGTAGCGCGGCTTCGAGGTCTCCTCTTCTCACGCAAGGGCCTGACGATACAGCAATCATTGCAGATGTATCGCACCTGTGTACGCAGTACATTGCTCCATGGGGTACTGTCCACTGGCATCACTGCTGCCGGACTACGGACACTTGAAAAATTCGAGATTAAGCACATCCGGGCCATTGCGTGTTCACCGAGCCACCTTTTCCGTGAGCGTAGTGCGGACCTGCAAAAGCGGCTCCAGTATGAGCCGATTGCTGATGCCCTAGGTCGCATGTACCACTCGTGCCAACAACAGGCTGCTACACTGCACTTTCCCTTCCCGGGGGATCGTGTACTCGAGCAGAGGTCCAGACTTCTCTATGAGGCATATCAGGAAACCTTGCAGGCCCGCATGTACAGCACACTCACGCAGTGCGATAGTGCAGGGGTACCGTGTCCGGTTTGCGGGGTCTACTACTCTGATCAGCGCATAATGCGCATACACTGCGCCAAAAGCCATCACATCAGTCTTGTCAGCGCTGACCTACGCCGACCGGAGGCTAGAGCAGCCATTGATGTCGCTTCACACAGCGTGGATGCATTCCGGTCTGTAGACACTGCCGTGCTAGATTCCGCAAATGGCGTGGGTTTCAGAATCATATCCTCAGTGTTTGCCCCGTCTTACACTCCCCAAATACGGCTCATGACCAGGTTCCCCCTACCAATCAGTCGGTCGCTGCGCCCGCTGTGCAGTCCGCTGCGGGGCGCAGCGCTCCTACTGATGAGACCGAAACTAATACACTCTGCCCATTCTTTCAGGACCCAGAAAGTCAGAGGAACATTGATGCCGACTGGGTTGCGTGTGCCGAAAAATGCGGCGAGCGTTTGCGCCACTACTGCATTTTCTGCACACAATGGTGCAGCTATGATAGAGGAGGTGTCAAGACGCACATGCGTCGTATGCATGCTGAACGCTGGGCCCTTCGCGACGCCGTCCTCAGGCGGCTCAAGAAGCATCATCGCCTCCGCTACCGGGGGCCCTGCAAAGCTTGCGCGTTCACTCCTGCCAGCAGTGCCCTGCATGCACCCAATTGTCCTGCCTACTTCCAGGCTTGCATGATGTTCCCTCTTCGAAACCCCGAGGTGACCCTTCATGACGGACTCAGCCGAGAAGGAGATCTCCGAGGTGTACGGACAGCTGCTGGGACTGCCGAATCAAGCGCGAGAGACTCGCGAAGCGCTGGACTCCGACAGACCGCCCAAGTGGCAGCGCCCGTCACACAAGGGCTTTGGCGATGGGCGCGGAGGACGCCAAGGCAAGGAGCAGAAGTGGACACAGCAGGAGTGGGACTCGTGGGGCATGAGCACTCCCAGAACTCCTTGAGCCAAGCAGTCTCGGGGGACGAACTGAGGGAAGTGGTTGCGCTTCTGACGCGACTGGCCTTGCGCCACGAGGACACAGAGGCAGCCCTGAGAACGGACTGCTCGTTCCTCCTGTACATGGACACACAGGGCATGGGGATGACGGCGCAGCTGTTCAAAATCTCCCAAGAATGGAAGGAGAAGAAAGAAGCGGTGCCGCCGCAAGTCAAGCAAAGCCTCAGGACTACCCTCCTCGTGTCGATCATGGTAACAATGCGACAGAAGATGGAGCAAGCGCTTACCCCGGAGATGAGGCCGACACTTGTCAAGCACGGATGGATCACAGCGGTGGACCCTCCGTCCTGGGCCTACCTACGCTGGAACCCCACAACGGAGCGCCAGGAAGTGGACAACAGCCGCCCGCCATTGCCGCACTCGGAAGCCTTGAACGCCCTCACCAAGATCAACGAGCTGGCAGGCCAAGACGGGCTCCTGCACAAGTTCCACGCGACGCGGAAGATGGCAAGCGAGTACCGCTCGCCGGTCCTGCCCTTCCTCATCATGGTATCCAATCGAGGCTCCGAAGCCCAAAGCCTGCATCAGTCCCTGATCCAGATCTGCGACAACTCCTGCCTTCGCCTGGTGGGCGCACGCTTGCGCCAGGAAAGGATGAAGCGGCAGCCGCTTGCGCCTACTCTCGCAAGCAGCCTCCAATCTTCTGGATCACACCAATCCGCAGATGAATGCCGCCGCCGACCTGAAGCCGAAGGAAGCGGGCAAGAGCTCGGACCCAGACTCGACACGAGCAGATATGGCGGACTTGTAGAGGCGCACTGGCCTAGGAGACCCCTAAACCTCTGCCTTGCCAACCCTAATAACCTGTGTTACCTTAATGCTTGTTTAGTGGCATGGCACTGGATTGCGCAGGTCCTTCCAGACCAGCGTGCCGTCTTTGGGGCACTCACCTCGGCCTGCATTGCCCTTCACGCCAGCACCCCCCGAAAACCCCTCTGTGTACCAGGTCTGCTGCCGTGGATGCCGCATCTCCGGGCTTGGGCTGAGCTGTATAGGCAGAATGATGCGTCCGAGTTCTGGTCCTACCTAATGCATCGCGCTGAGCCTGACGTGCTGGTAGAGCCAGCGAGTCAGGGGTGGAGGTGCACGACCAAGCGTACTTGTGGCAGCCCATTGCGATGACGGTTGTTGGCCGAACCTTTCAAGACATTGTCCATGCCTGGCACGCCCAAACCCCGGTACATGCGCTCACAGCTTGCACCACCCTTGTTGTCGTTCAGCTTAGGTGTTTTAGCTTTGAGGGCGGACGTGCTCACAAAACTCAGCACCCTATGCCCATTCGCGAAGGTGCCATATGCCGGCTGCCGATCTTTCAGAGTGGACGCTCCCTCAGTGTCCAGTGGTGTAACTACAGAGTCGCATTTGCCGTTGTACACACGGGTGCCAGCCCCCGGGCAGGCCACTACCAGTGCGCCATGTGCGCTGAGCGGCAAATCTTTTTGTCAGATGATGGGGTGACCCCAGGTAAATTACCCAAGAATAGGCAGCCTTGGTTATATGGTAACTGTTACCTGTTGGGGTTGCTCCGCCTCGTTCCTGATGTCTAGTTCCTGGGCATCCGCTGCGATTCGTCGCGGGATGCCCTTGTCACCGGGTCAACTAGGGCCCTTGAGCACGGGGTCATGTGGATCACGCCGATGAGTGTGCCCAAATTTTGTGGCGCGCTTGCATCAGCTGCCTGCCCGATCCATTGCTTATGTTACGATTCTTCACTTTGACATGTTAATGTACACAGCCCTTGGCTGCAGGACAGCACGACTTTGTCCCGGTTTTTTTAGTGCTCCCGTACCAATGTAGGTGCTTAAGCTAAGCGCCTATATAGGGGCAGGAGCAATTCGCATGCCAGCGCCAAAACCACGAACCCGCCTCGGTTTCCCCTGCCCTAATCCTCATGCCACTACCCTGCCACCCAGCTGCCTTTACTGTACACCGGCCGCTCGCCATGTCCACACCTACTGATGCTGATCCGATCGGGGACCGAATGTATGGAGCATCTACACCGGAGGTACCGTCTTCAGCTGATGTTATTTCAAACTGGACTGAGTATGTGCATGGGGCGGAGCCCAGATACGCAGCTAGCCGAGAGGTGGCGGCCGAGGATCATGAAACGTTTCTTTTGAGTGCTCCCATGTCGATTGATACGGTTGAGCAGCCTACGAATCCCATCGAGCAGTTTGCCTTTGATTGCCTTCGGCGACAAGTCGTTACATACGCAGACTTTGGTATCTTGCTCAACATGCTTGCTCAGGTGTTACCGCAGACCAAACGCACCAGAGAGCGCATCAACATGGGAGTGACATCGTTTGCCTTCCAGACAGGTGCGTATGCTTTTGGTGGTGAGGCAGGTGCCATGACCAATGTGGGCACCTATCCTCTCCTCACACGCTTGCTCGCGGCTACAGTTAATGCCAGGTGCTCCGGGCTGCCCTTTTCCACTGTGACGCTCTCTTCCAACTTACAGACGGGATTACACAAAGATTCGCACAACCATCCGATGCTCTCCAACATTGTCATCCCGATTACTCGCTGGGAGTTTGGAGGCGCCCTATGGATTGAGGACGACTCAGGTAACATCATGCATGAGGGCATGCGTGGTAGGACTCTGGATGTGACTCCGCCCTATGTGCTTTTCAATGCGCACCGTGCGCATTGTACAATGCCTTGGGTGGGCAACCGATGTGTTCTCATCGCCTATCACATTCGCGATGGCTGGAGACTCTCGGATGACTGCCTACACCGGTTGCGAGCCATGGGATTCCCGATTTGGACAGGACATGTTACTGAAGACCCTTACATGTGATGATTTGTACAGTTCTTTGGCGCATAGGGGACAGTCGTGCACTTTTTATTTATTTCACTTGTGTGTGTTTGTTAGCTGACCTCCGGGTCGTGATCTGGTGACGCAGCACTGCGGTGCGGTCACCTTTGTTCATTCAGCTTGGATGTGCGAAAGCACAGCGCCCACGAGGCGCCGGGCCCTATCAAAGGCCTGTCCGATCGAGCCTCGCATGGCGTTTCATGGACGAACGCTGCGAATCGAGAGAGAGAGTGGTGGTGGTGATGATCATGATGACGACGGTCGTGATGACGAAGATACTGATGCTGATGATGATGATGATGACGATGATGCTGGTGGTGATGATGATGACCTGCAGATACATATGCCAATGCAGCTGCAGCTGCTGCTGCCGCTGCTGATGATGCTGCTGATGCTGATGCTGATGCTAATCCTGATGATGATGACGACGACGAGGGGGACGGTGGTGGTGGTGGTGGTGGTGGTGGTGGTGGTGGTGGTGGTGGTGGTGGTGGTGGTGGTGGTGGTGGTGGTGGTGGTGGTGGTGGTGGTGGTGGTGGTGGTGGTGGTGGTGGTGGTGGTGGTGGTGGTGGTGGTGGTGGTGGTGGTGGTGGTGGTGGTGGTGGTGGTGGTGGTGGTGGTGGTGGTGGTGGTGGTGGTGGTGGTGGTGGTGGTGGTGGTGGTGGTGGTGGTGGTGGTGGTGTAGTGATTCATGGTGTGATGGTGAACATAGCAGTTACAGTCATGACTAGAAGTAATGATCAGTAGAGAATGCCAAAGCTGATGATCATCATGGGAAAGGTGACACAATCGATGACGACGACAGCTGTGACAATGGCAATCATGGTGATGACGGTGACGGTGATAGTGATGGTGATGCTGTTAGTGGCAGAGTGATGGGGCTCACAATCGTAAGACTGGCAGACAGCCACGATGAGAATACCAACAGCAAGACCAAGAAGATGCATGGCCTGGTTCCTAGCCTGGTTCCTACATGTTACTATCAACCTGCACATCATCAGCACCATCACCACCACCATGATTCCCAAGCTGGAGACCGTCACCACTGCGACAATCACCATCGCAATCGCCATCGTCACCAGCATCATCATCAGAAGTTGGGCTGGGATTCACTGTCGGATCGCAGTCACATGCAGTATGACTGCGGATTGTCTGGCCAGGCACCGCCCGTGTAAAACCCATGAAGCACAGGCCATTCCCAAGGAGGCTCTCGTCTCGTCTACCGAAATGCCTCGATCCCTTACAAGCTTCACGGGAAGCTGGAGCAGGCTGCCGAGGAGCATTCTGAAAAAAGCCTCCTCCACTGAACCACCTGCCGTCAGCGGGCCATGATTCTCAAGGAGCAAGACCTTGTTCTTTGGCCCGAGGTTATGCGCCATTCCTGCCAACCATCACATTGATTCGGTTACATCCGGATGATGTTATGTTTCGAATGAAACATGTCAAGCTCCCTGAAAAAGACAAGCCATTGCTTCTTCAGCACCAGGCACTCTCCCGCTCGTCCAAGTCGACCGCATTCCCCTCGAATGGGTGGTAGGAGAATTCCCCCCACTGAGATATAGCTTCTTGCGTCAAGGGCAGGAAACCGGCTTTAGTGGTCAATACTGCAACTGTGTCGGAATGATGGCAGTGCCAGACGCAGGTGATGTCCGGACGGGCAGCGTGCACAGCTGAGTGGACCTGAAAACATGCTTGACACTTGCGGCTGACATCTGGGAGGACGACACTAGCACGACACAACATCGAAATCTGCTCGAAACTGAGGTGCGGACTACGAATCCCTGCTTGAAGAGTGGCCCTTGGTTCGTGCCTTTGTCCACTATATTTCCGTCCAGGTCCACCTTCAACAAAGAGCTAGCCTCAGCTGCAAGCTAAACCCGGCAGCTTTCTAGTTGGGCTCCGCTCCTTTCCCTCGCTACGTGGTAAGGAGCTGTGATCTCATCAAAGCGCAAGCCGAAGGGGTTGATCAGAAAGTGCGGTCCGCCGGGCAAGCGATCACTTTCCGGCACCTTCAACGTGATGTGGTTGAACACAAGCTCGTCCCAGCCATAGTGGGCAGAGAGTCGGTACGCGATGGCCAGCTTACAACGAGCCTCCCACCTCCGTTTCCGAACAACAGGGCAAGGGCACACGCTTCCTACTGGCTTATGCAGGAAAGAACTTTGGGTTTCCAAGACAAGGTCACTCGAGAGGACTGAACTGTGATCTCTGTCTTGAGGTAGTGTCCCGCCGGGTGCGGTCACGACGTGCGAGAGATTTGACTTCCGGCAAGTCCGCGGGCGCAGACGGCGCGGCTGCACTGCTCGGCAAAACATGCTGCGACAGCTGCTGTATGCGGCGCATGCTGTCCGAGTCCCTTGCCGTCACCAGCTCAGAGCCAAATGATCACTTAGACTTCAGCATGCCAGCCGAACCGCCGCTCGTCGTTTTGGAATGTACTGGCAGTACAGGTGATCGCTTCAATCACGAAAGGGCGGATCTGGCGGTTGTCGTGATACACTATATAACTCCATGTATCCCCATACCGGGAGCATTGTTTCTAGGACTAGCCGCGACTAACCTTTCTAGAAGCCCAGACTGCAAGAAGGCTACCCCGCAGAAGCCTTTTCCGTGCTGTGAAAACTAGATGCCGAGAACACTGTTGGCCTGGTGTGTGACACAAACTTGCACGGCTCAACCCTCAGGGTGAGCATGCTAACAGTGCGAGGCCATGGAAAAGCGTATCGGAAGGCCTTCATCAGTGAAGGCGAAAATCGAGAGTAAGGTCCATTGAAGAAGTCAGGCAGCATCACACGTTTCGCGTGTCCAATCCCAGTTTCACACGAGCGTCCACCTGTCACGAGACAACTCTCGAAGCTAACTCCAAGACCAACGGACAAAGCAGAGCCTCGGCAGTTAAAGATTTCCAGTCCGGCACCTCGCAAGCAAGGTACACTGCAAAATTCACTACTGCGTGAGCCACCAAAGGAACAAGACCCAGACTCCGAGGAATCGAGTGCCAACACGCCCATTCTTTTTGATGATGATGGCCTGGCCAACGTCCTCCACGGCACGTGGGGCGGAGAAGGCATCGTGAAAAGCTCGATGCGACAAGTTCGGCAGCCTCGTCCAAGCCCTGACTGCGAACCTCAAAATTGACACGTAAAAAAGGGGCGAGAGCCGGATCGCGAGAGCCAGCAGACACCCCGGCCTGTGCGAGTTGAATCTCGGAGAGCAGTGCCCAATCTCCTTTTGGATCCTGAGAGTGGTGAAGTGCGGAGCAGAGCAGCTGAGGGCCCAAAAACCTTAGAGGCACCTTCCCAGGCAGTGCCACGAAGCTCAGGTCTTTCACCGCTGCGGCCAGGGCAGGCCTTAAAACTTAGCAAACAAGACAACTATGGCCCTATGGCTATGAAAGCTCCTGGATTCTGGGATGCCAACACATCATCGTCAGAAGGATTGCAGAGCACGGGCACAAGCAGGAAGTCCGTACGGACCATGGCCTTCAGCCCAGACTCTCTTGCACCCCCAGACATCCCCCACACTGTGGCGCCAGGAAAGGACGCCTCCTGAACCTCCATGGAGGCATCGATGCAGTCCTGACCTGTGCTGGCAGGAATCCGGGACATGTTTACTGTCTTGGAGATGTTCTACTGCTAAATTGTGCTGAGCTTTACACAGAACTTGAGATTCCCGAGGCAAAGGACCTCCCAATGTGTCAAGCGGAGCTTGAACATGGAAACCGGAACCGCCGAGCACGCCACCGGCCGCCGCGAATTCATCCGTCGCCCCACTCGGAGGTCACTCAACTGGACATCAACAACCTGCGGAGTCTGGGAAGCCACAATCATCTCAGCAATACGAACCTAAAGCAGTAACAAACGTTCTCTTCTCTCATCCTCTAGTACCACGCCGGCTGCCAGATTCATTGGCACCTCTCCATCCGTGGGGACTTGAACTGGAAGCCGCGCGATCAACGCCCCCTCCTGCAATAAGCGATATTTCAGCAAGGACGCCGAAAACCCTGCCAAAAGTATCGTGCACGCCTCCTTGGCTTGGGACCGCACGGAGTCTTGATTCCACTCCTTCAAGGAGGCTGGCTCTGACAAGGCCCAGTCACTCAGCCATTTGGAAACATCTAGCCGGAGCCTGGTAAGTCAAGAAGCCACAGAAAACCATGGCCCCAAAGTTCACAGCAACGTCTTGCAAGACGCTCCTCACAGAAAGCCGCGATGTGGCAACACTTGCAGTCACTTGCAGCCTTGCTCTGCTGCTCCGGTGGCTCTGGGCTCTTGGCGGCAAAGGGGCGGCCCGGGGAGCTCCGAGCAACGACTCAGCGGCAGTGCTCGTCGGGTGGCGGCGGCGTTGGTGGACAGGAAAGAGACTGAAAAACCGATGGATTACAGACAGACCGACAGACGGACGGACAGACGGACGGACAGACAGACAGAGACAGGCAGACAAACCCGCCACTGACAGACCGTCGCACCGACGGAGATGGACCGACGGACCGACGGAATCTTTGACAGAACCAACTGCTATCTCTCGGAATAGTCTGGCAGGGTTCTGAAGGATGCACATCAGCACGCAACCGAGTTTCCCGCCGCTATCAGCCTGCAGCGAGCTTTGTCTACATATGCATTGCACCCCACGGAAAGGAAAGGAAGGTGCTAATCCGCAGAGAAGGGTTTAACAAATTCCCTTTACATTGCGTCTAATGGGACTTCAAGGCAATAGAGATCATCAGCAGCTTTCTGAAGTCCAAAACATTCCAAACCGTTTCTGGTCACGCGCAAGCACGTCCGCTGTCGATCATGATAAGGTCATACAAGTGCCGCTGAGATAAGAGCACTGGTGGTCGCTACTAGCCGTTCTCCATGGGACACACAGCATCTGCGAACCAATGTCGGGTTCTTGTTGAGGAATTTACTTTAAGTTACCATGATATGGATCTATAGTGAAATATGGTGAATAACGGGGTTTCCTGATTATGGCAACTTGAATGAAATCCTCTAACAAGAACCCAGAATGTTCCCGGCCCTTCCATCCTCCCTCGCTGTGCCTCGGCAAAATGAACAGCAGCCCAATGCCGGCACCGCCCTCGCAAGACCATCCAAGCACTGGATCACGTGCCAATGAAACGCGAGCGACTGCTTTGCATAACATGGACAGATAGATAGATAGATGGATGAATAGGTAGATTGACAGATAGATGAGAATAATCGGTACGCAGATACACAGACAGAATTGAAGAGCCAATCGACAGACAGGCAGACAGACCGACCGACAAAAACAGATGGACAGATACTCAGATAGACAGGTAGATAGACAGATTCAACTTGAACGAGATCGCAGCGGAAAAAAAAGATCCTGTGCAGCGCATGGCTTTTTGACATCTCAGCTGCCGCCGTCGGTCGCAGAAACGCGGCAAGCCAACCTGAAAACTGCGTTTTGCACAGCGGGTGCAGCCAGCACAGCTTGTCCAAAATGTCATATAATACACATATACATATACATATACATATATACATATACATATACATATACATATACATATACATATACATATACATATACATATACATACATATATATATATATATATATATATATATATATATATATATTATGTATGGTATCTTTAAAATATATTATAGTTTATACGTACATAAGATATACATACGTATTCTGAACGTATGATATGACCTGGATTGACCTGGGCTCCTCACTCGACGCTTGCATGCTTCCAAGACACAGGAAATATGGGATGGTGCCTTCCGTTCCTGGCTGTGGAAAGGGAGGCTGCTTCTCGTCGCTCTCCATAAACAGCGGCCCATACATCTCCTTTAAACCGAAGAAAGACATCATCTTGAGTTGAAAGCTGAAAAACCGATCACCCTACCTGCTCCTTGCAGGACCAGCCGGGTCCCAGGTCATGAGCCTGGCGGGGTAGGAGGAAGCGTGGTGTAGTCAAAAATGGCAGGCTAGCGGCTAGCGGCTGTCGCAGGTCGGCCTCTGAGTGTCGCTCACGGAAGGTATCTAGCTCATCCTCCGCACAACTTGCAGGAAGCGAATGGTTCGCGACTGCTCACGGGGCCATACCGCAAGACCTCGTCGTCATCTGACAGCAAATCCTGCTAACAAATCAATGCAGTTTAGCGATGTGCTGTTTCTACGTGCATCCGAGCAACTTGACCTGCCCACAGCCTTCGCTGCGACACCACAAGCCTAAAATTTCGGAGCCATCTGCTTCTACACTTGCACGGATCAACTTGTGCACGGTCCCAAGCTCCCAGCAGACGCCCGGTTGAAACAAGCACCCGTCGCACCTCCTGCGGTGCTCGGTGAAAGCATGTCACACACGGCTACAGAACTGCCAATGTCCTGGAAGTACTGTCTCCGGGACGCAACTGTGCCGAGGCAGTCAGACAAGCCTCTTTGGGAAATGCACCCGAAGACCCAAGTCGACAAAACCACACATCCAACATTCTGGGCCTTTGTCGACGGCAGCCACAAAAGAGCCACCACCGAAATCTGACATGTTCCTGAAGACAGTCAGCGCGGATTCTTACACACAATAATGTCCTCCACCTGACACATCTGCAACGATATCTTGAAAAGATAGGTTGGCGCCTGGCATCCATGGTGAGGAAAGTTAAATCTGGGAATCTCCGCCTCATCCGTTCCTGAAGACGACACTGGCAAGATGGGCCGCAAATGCTCCAAGCTCTGCATGCTGGCAACGAATGATCGGTTGATTGCAGCGAGCATCTGTCACCTCAGCGGAGAAGTCGATGCTGATGACCTCGAACTGCTGAGGCTTTGGCGGTTCTCAGCGCACACCACGGGTCCGAACCTCGAAGTTCTGCTTCTCGAGAACCTGCCCGAAGCTGTAACAAAGCGCGGAAACAATCGTGCCGGGACCTGCCTTGTCTGAAGCCAGCTCGGCGCTCAGGGCGGAGTCGCCGCTTCCAAGCACGAGCAGCCTTTCAGAACTCTACAAACAAAGGCAGCTTCATGCGGTCCATGTGCTTTCTTACACTCCCGAAACTTCTGAGGCCTGTTTTGGAGGACCTCCACTCAAGATACCTCCGAAGATGTAAGCAGACGAATCCTCGGCCTCGCTGTGCTGGCCGAGTGAGCAGGCAGCGGTTCCAGCAGCTCCATCAAAGAACTGTGCAGTTGCTGGTAGCCTGCACGAGGGGACTCAACATCGAAACACATCAAAGAGATGTCCTTCGCCCTGCACGCCGACAAACAATACAAGCTGAGCTGCTGGCCAAGACCGTACCACTCGTACAGGGAGCGCCCGTGCAGGCTTTGCACTTTGTAGACTTGGTTCCAGTAGTCCGGCTGGTCTGCCTGCATCAAACAAGACCGTTTAGAAGAGGAGCCACCGTTGCAATTCAGTGTCGAGCTGCAGCCGGATAGTCGTCGTGTCCATGGCCAAAGAGAAACAGCGTCCAGTGCAGACGGCTCAGCCATGGCATCACGCAGGCGCTGTAAACAGCTGCTCTTAACAATCATGGGCTGCGAGTGGCTCTGTCGCTGATCACCTCAATGAGCGCATGCCATGTATCCTTCTGCTTGAAGCCGGGCGTTGTCAGGCTACTCTTCTTGCACTGCACCCTTATCGACAATCGTCCATACAGGAGTACAGGTATGGGCAATCCTTCTGGATTTCACTCCGCGAACATGCTGCACTGGGAGAGCTCAAGACAGAGGCTGCAAACAAGAGCTTTCAGACCCGCTAAGGTGAATTACAAAAGACAGTCTGAGAGTCAAACTGCCAGGAATCCAAACAAGGCAACTTTGACCTGCCAGGTGGACACTTGGAAGAACTCACATACCAGCGATCCATGCCTTGGCAAAAGGATCCTCTGTCTCTGCCTCGCCAAGCAGACTGTGACTAGAGCTTCACTAAATCCACGCAAGTAGAGCAAGTGTAACCCGGGCGCGCTGCGCGCAATTTGTCATTGCTGAATTTTTGCTCTGCTGGAAGTGCTCGCACTGGCCTTGGCAAGCAAGCATTGCACAGATGGACAAAGGTTCGGCCGAAGACAACTTCAACGCAAGGATCTGGACGTGATGCCAGTCTTCGAGCCTGGCATTCTGCCACAAGCACACATGGAGCAAGCCATCGGCAGCGAACCTTGGGATACCTCTGACAAGTTGACAAAGGAGTCATGGCACCTTGCTCACGTGCATAAGATCAGTCTGCAACACAAAACTGCCAGAGAGCATGGGCTCCGGCAAGCTGGCCAAAAAAACACAAGAAATACACCTGGCGCATGTATGCGAAGCATCTGTGCATGTCGGCATATCTACCTGCTGGCCTTGCTAGGAAGGTTGATGCACTGCGCGGCGCAGAACGGTGGGAGCGTCGCATGTTGCTCAAGGATCCTACAGGCTCCGACCAACCAAATGTTCGTCAATGATTATGTTGCACTGCAAGAACAGTGCAAGAACTGTTTCTTACCTGGGCAACCTCGCTGTTTTTTTGAAGGGGCTACAGCTCGTGGGTGCTATCGGGAAACGACAGTTGTCTGTCTGCTTCTTGTCTGCGTGGTGAAAGCCCACACCTGCAGCATGAACGAAAAACCAAATGTGTCGCCAAAGCATGCTCCGGAAAGGAGTCGCATTTGCCCACTGCAGGACGTCGGGGGGAGGTATCGCTTTGATCATGGTGTGATGAAGTGGCAAAAAACGTCACGTTTCGCCACAGCCTTGTTGTCCACCTGCCTCTGGGCTTCGGATCCCCCAATTATGTCGAAGTTTCCGGGTGGGTACACACACTCTTTTGGAAGCAGGGTCTTGATGTTTTCAACTTTTGTCCGCAACATCGTGAGCAACAAGCACTGGCAGCGGAAACCAGCACGAAACCACATGGGCTGAAATTGTACTGTATGTTGAAAAAGCAAACAACGCCTGCATCCACGTGCAGACTTCGCATTTGCCACCAATCGCTGCGGGAATCGACCAGCGCTCGGATGGTGTTAAGATCATCTGGGCGCGTGAGGCTTAGTCTGGATAAGCTTGGGAGTGATCGGCGCAGGATAACGAGTGAGAAACGGCATCTGGCAGGAAACTGTTCAGCCCGTGCAGTCACAGCTCGGCGTGCCCCACTCCTTCTTGTTGTGGCTTCGCAACCCATGCTCAACATCCGATTCGCCCCCGCATGCTCATTGTTTCCGTCCGATGGGGGGTGCGCCAGGCGTAGGAAACGACGTGCCGCATGAAACGGCCTGTTGTAAACAACAGCCATCGGTAGGAAACAGCCTCCAGGAAACCGCCGAAACGAGGGCATTCGAGGATTAGCCTGGGATTAATGCAGGATTAATGGTGCAAGATCAGCACAGGATTCGCATAGGAATAGGCGAGGAGTAGCCAGGATGAGTGCAAGCGCGGGGTTAGCGTGGGATAGGTAGGAGGAGAGGATAGGCACACGATTAGTGCAGGATGAGTGCAGGGTTCGCACAGGATGAGTGGGGCAGGCGAGGATTCGCCCAGGATGGCTAGCACTTTTTCCTTTGCACGGTTGGGTGTGTTCTAGCCGAATCTGCACGTCACGGACGGGTTCAAACTCTCTTGGTCTTCCTCTAAGTCTAACAGACACTGCACTCTGTGTGTGGCAGGAATGTCGATCACGTTTTTCAGCATTCCGACTCAAGCCCGGGAACTGCACAGACAGAAGCTCTGGCCCTGGCGAAAGCAAACTCACACGTCTGACCGACCTACGGAGAAAAAGATCAAACAAAAACATACCACATGACTTCGATGCCAGCTCAAATTGGTCAAGCTTGAGGGCTTGCAAAACTAAACAAAAAGTCGACCGGTTCGGAACAAAAGTTTCAACCGTGGTCTAGCTCCTGCAAGGCTAACGTCAAATCTTGGAAACACAAGTTATTTGCCTTCTAAGTCACTCAAGTTAGAACACATCACCAAACTGCACTATTGAACGACGATTCAGAACACCCATCAAGGACAACACCAGAACTGCATTCCGACGCCCTCGGAGCTTCAAAAAACAACCTACTATCTGTCAGACTCGTAGCACGTCTCTTTTTTTTCTGACGTATCTTTTCATTCTTGGGTTCATCTTTTGCAGGTGGAACCAACTTCAAGTCATGCCCTTGCTGACAAAAGACCAGTCTCCGTACTTGAAGGAGCCAGCAGCAACAGTCGGGTGCTAAGCACTCTTCTCCAGTCAATTTTCAAGTGTCAGGCAATTTGAACTACGACGACTACGACTATTACTACTTCTTCCACTAGTACTACTACCACTACTACTACCACTACTACTGCTACTACTACGACTACGACTACTACTACTACTACTACTACATACTACTACTACTACTACTACTACAACCACTACTACTACTACTACTACTACTGCTGCTACTACTACTACTGCTACTACTACTATTCAATTGAACAAGCGTGCTCTGCGCTTTGCGGGCGCCTTTGGTCCGTGCACTCGTGAAACTGATTATCTGCGAGCATTCATCGCTCATATTCCTCTCAAACTGCTCAGTCTTCCGCCACCTTGTTGTGAACAGACGCGTCCTGTGCACCTGTCCGAGTAATTAGATCGTACTCCGGCGAAGCCGGCTGCAACTCGAAGTGGCTGTCGGAGATCGTAACTGCGAAGTACTTGCTTGAGGAGACCCATTGGATGCGCTACCTCGAACTGCTCCTTTGGAGTTGGTGATCCAGCAGCTGTGTTTGTTCATTTTGTGCTTTTCCACCAGCTTTGCCAAAGTGCACTGGTTACACAGAAGCCTAATCCTGCGAGAAAAGGGAGAGGAGACGCAAACCTCTTTACTGTTCACTGCAGGGCGTCGAGCTGGCATCCGATTCTGGGCAAGATCTGAGTTCAAGCACATCCAAGAAGATTGGAATCCAGGTTGAACCTGGGTTCCAAAAACCAACTTCGGTAAAATCCACTGCGCACCTTGCGGGCGTGTCCGCTGCCAGCTCCCTAATGGTGACCGGGCACGGAAAGAGCTTGTGGGAGCAGAAAATTTGACTGGAGCGAATGGCTGTTATCAACAGATAAAGGCTGCCATTTACCGTGTGGAGCTAAACTCAGGCTTTATGGTGGCTGGTCCCTGGATTTCCGGTGGATGGCTTGATTTTGCTTCTCGGACCTGTCCCACACCTCAAACCACAAAAAACCCCAAAAAAAATCAACCTTTTCCCTCATATCTAAAAGCGAAGTCTGAAGTCTTTTGTGTCTCAAAGCAGACACATCCTGCATGGAAGTGGTGCAGCACAGGAACTGCTACAGAGTTTTAAAGTCTGCAGCAGTATGGATCGAGCAAGGCTGCTGCGATCGACAATCGATTAAGAGGGCACAAAAGCGTCTCAGTAGCATGGCATTCCTTGCAGAGTTGAGATAGCTACGATCTCAGGTGCTTGAGACAACGCGTATGGTCAAGTCAACTGGTAGCGTTGAAGTCGCTTTTGAAAGAGCAACAAGACTTGGTATCTTGCTAGAAAACAATTATTGCAGAATTGGTGCCGGTTAGTTCAGAAAGAGCTGCCAAAACTTGAGTTCGCTCTCCAAAGAGCTTGGAAGCGTTGTCTCAGACAATCTGCGGACTGTTGAGTACCCGTAGCAGCTGGCTAAAGCTCCATGTCCGCTGTAATTGCGTTATTGACAGTTGGATTGGAATACGTCTGACGGTATCATAGTCAAGATTGACTATCGCGAACTAGTAGCCTGCAGCACTGTGTAAACTTGTTTCTAGTCATCTGAAAACAGATGAATCGTGCCCAACCGGCTGAACTCACACGTCTTTTGCTTGAGAAACTGTTCTATGTGCCTCAATGTCCGCATGGTGCGAGCGTTGAACATCACCAATTATGGGAGTGCCCATGGATGTTGTCTCAGCTGCAGTCGCCTGTCCCACGGCATTCTCGAAACATTGCCTGAGGGACCGTTCACCAGTCCGCGCGGCGTTGCAGCTTGTCGGATAGATCTGTGTCGGTAGGTACACTGCTTCTCTTATTGGCTCTGAACAGACGGTTCCAAGAGCAGAAACCATGGCAGTGCTTGAGGCCCTGCAGTTGACTGTAAGAGATCTTGAGTTGGCCACGGATGCTGATTATGTTCATCGCCGCTTCAAAAAGCTTTCCAGATCTAGAGGCCTTGATTGCACCAATCCCGATCTGTGGACGGAAATTAGGGCCAAGAGCGTGGGAAGAAGTTTCAGTGCATAAGGTGAAGGCTCATCTTTCACAGGCGGAGTTTCCCGACCTGTTTCCTGACGAGCCAGTCTGGTCTTGGATTGGAAATTGTGAGGCTGATTCGCCGGTCCAAACCCACGCTAACAAGCATACGGATTTGGGACAGAGCTGCTGTCGTTGTGGGTTGACCGCCGTGCGGTTGAAGTTGCGGAGCACCTTGTCACTGCTGCTTTGCTGTGGATGCAGAAGACTGACCCTTGCGCAGCCTTAGGTAAAGTGCATGGCCCTAGAGGGCCCACGAAACGGCAGTTTCTCGAGCACCTCACCGTCACTTACCCACAGCATGTTTGGCAAGTGAAACCAGGGAAGGCTTGCTGCGCAAATTGTCGGTTGCTTCTTCGCAGTAACATGTCCGGCACGCTTGAAACAGTGTGCCGCACAGCAGTGCATAGGAGCGGGCAGTGCTGCTGTCCCTGTTGGTCACCCCAGCCACTTATTGAGACAGGAGGGTTTGATTTGGAAGTGTGTCTTTTGCAGTAAGCGCACCCGAACTGCGGCAATCTTTGAACACTTTCGCCTGCCATGCCGATCTAGGCAAGGGAGGAGGCGAGTCTTGCGTTGAGCAGGTGAGACGGTTCGTTTACAGCTTGGCTTAGGAAAAATACTACTACTACTACTGCTACAACTACAATTACAACTACGACTACTACTACTACTACTACAACTACAATTACAACTACGACTACTACTACTACTACTACCACTTCCACATCTACTACTACCACTTCTACATCTACTACTACTACTACTACTACTACTACTACTACTACTACTACTACTACTACCACTACTGCTACTACTACTTCTGCTACTACTACTACGACTACTGCCACTACTATTGCAGCTCTAATTCCTCTCAGTCTACTCGTTAATCTGGGTCTTACATCTGTTGCCTCCTCCTCAGCCATGAGCTGGCACACGGATTCATGCTGGAGACAGAAGGCCGTAAGAACCATCCTTGTGCCGGAACAAGTGGAATGCACAGCCACTCTCCTTAGTGGCTTCGCTTATCAGGAAGCCGCCCACGCATGCAATGGGCCTAGACTTTTGGATTTTGGTGTGCACAATCGTAACGGAACAAAACACAGGGGGTTGTCCGTTGTCTGGCAAGACTAGAACGGCAACTGGAGCCTCCACCTATTGTTTTGGGCAGCTCTGAGCGACAGCTTTTCGTTGCTCCTGACCGGTCGCTAAGGCTCCGTAGTTTGGTGCTGAACGGCTAACACCGGCAAAATCTGTGCGCCGCAGCCCTTTGTAGAGCTTCGCTTTGCTGTCTCACCGCTTTGTTTGTTTGTAGTTTGTGTTCGCTTGTTTGTTGGGACCGAGTGCTACAGCCGAAGTCTACGAGGCTCAGTCAAGCCAAAAAAAGTTGAAACCCAGGTTTCGAACATAGAGTTTCCAAACCCGAAGTTCGAACATGGAGTTTCCAAACCCAGAGTTCGAACTCTTGTATATTGATTCTTGTTCTCTCATTTCGCAAAAACCCCATTAAGCGATTTCGTGTAGCTTCTTTCTTTTGTTTGTGCTTGCGTTTAAGTTTGTGGTTTCTGTCGCTCTCGGTTACTTTTCTTCGCAAACCCCCCACAAAGCGATTCTGTGTGGCTTCTTCTTCTTTTGTTTGCACCCTTCTGGTCGGAGGTAATGCCCTTAGCATCAGGCATTGTCCCACACGCCAAGAGGATACTGTTCGAGTATTTGCAGCCACAAGGACATTAGCTGAATGTGCTTTTGCCCTTAGTCTCGCTGCCGGTGCTGTGCGTGTGTGCGTGTTTGGTCGACCACCCCACCCCCCAATACCCCGCCTCTCTAAGCCAGTGTCCCCAGCTTAGTACTTCGGTGAGATCATCCAGGGAAGAGCTTTGTTCCTGCGATGTGGGCTGTCTTGCCACGTGTCCAATTCCAACCCAAGCCGCCCGGCTTGGGGGGCGGGCCCATGGAGGTTCACATCCCTCCTCTAAATCCCCGGCTCGGATCGAGGGGCCCGGAGCGTTGAACTCTGCACCGGAGCCCCAATGACGTATGCGGAGGGGCAAAGAAGGCGAGAGGGACCGTTTCCGTAGGCCGGAGAGCACTCCAGGTCGACACTCACTCACTCACTCACTCACTCACTCTCCTTTTGTTTGGTGATTATCGGTGTTCGAATCCCGTTCGAACTCTGGGGGGAGTCTTGAACCCTTGGGTTCATTTGTTCGCGGCTTTAGCATTCTCGTAGGAGACTTCATGCTTCTGAAGCCCCCTTGAGAAGAAAGACTCCTCATTGACAATCTTTTTCTTTGTTTTGTCTTTCTTTGATTTCTTCGCAAAAAGCCACATAAAGCGGTTTCGTGTGGCTTCTGCTTCTTTTGTGGCAGGGACTGGTCATTGCCAGCCTTTTTCTTTGTTTTCGGCAAGCACAGCGGGGGGATTGGGGGGGGCGCAGCCCCTCCCAGGGTTCGAACGCTCCGAAGGGGGGACGACTTCCAGAACCCGAGGTTCCAACATAGAGTTCCCCAAACCCCGGTTTGGACTCTCTGGGAAAGGGGGAGGAGTTCCCGAACCCGGGGTTCGAACATGGAGTACCCTAAACCTCGGGTTCGAACATAGAGTTCCCGAATCCAGGGTTCGAACATAGAGTTCCCGAACCCTGGGTTCGAACATAGAGTTCCCGAACCCAGGGTTTGAACATAGAGTTCAAACTCCAGGTTCAACCTGGGTTCGAGAAGTTCGAACCCAGGGTTCAACCCTGAGTTCCGGAGTTATATTATATGTTCTCCCCCCCCCCCGGGCCCCCCGGGAGTTTGAACCCTGGGTTCCGGAACACTCCAAAAACCTATGCTCGTGCTCCGTTTCGTTGGAATTTGCCGTCCTCTGTGCGATGATAGCTTTGACGACGCTGATTTATGGTTCCGCTTTCTATCTTTGGAGGAGCCGGGCGGAACGAACACCAACGCTTAACATGTTCTTCTCTCGGCACTTGTTTATTTCACTGATCGCGGACTGGTTTCAGAGGGGGGGGTTGGAACCCAGGTTAAACCTGGGTTCCAAACTATTTCTGGCTCAAGTTTTTGGCTCAGTTCAGTCAGCAGCGACTTCCTGGTAGCTTGCAATCCCCACCACACAGTGGAAGAGCAGTACCCTGAGGTGCTGCTTGCGTAGTTACCCAGTAGCGAGCCATAGTTTCCTTGAATCAGTGCTTGATTTTCCTTGATTTCTTGTGATTTGCTTGGATCTAAACTGATTTTCTTGGAACCTTGGCTTCAGCACTGAACCATGCCTCAGAGATCGTACGTTGTCTGCTGCAACAAAGCGTGCAACAGCTGGCTTTGGACTGATCGCTGCAGCAAACACACTCACTGCAGTCAGTGCAACACCTTGTGGGCTAAGTCGTTAGCAGCGTCTGGGCAAACTGGCCCACTGGAGGGTCAGTGGCCCAGGTGGGAAAGCGCACGCTGGAAGGCGCCAAAGGTTAGGAAGTCAAAAGTCCAGCCGCCGCCAGGCTTGGATACAAGCGCATTGTGGCCAGCAGACGTCCTTGAAGCTTTGAAGGTGCATTGGGGTTCTTTTGATAGCAAGTTGCAGGCCACTCTGAAATCGCATGGCATCCACTGCAGCCCAGTGACGACAAGTGAGCCTGATCTGAAAGAAGCCTGCAGGCAGCACCTGTCATCGTTGCCAGAGAGCATCCAAAAGCTCTTGCAAGAGCCCAAGCAAGAGCCTACGTACGGGCAGGCGGTGTCAGACCTAAACCGGCGCTTCAAGGCTGAGACCAACTCCTTGAGGGACCTTGTGCAGCAATCAGTGTCGCTGCAGGCCCGCATTGATAAAGCAAAGCAGACGTACGAGGAGCTCTTGCGTGGCATGCAGACCCTCACAGAGCAGTTGAGTGCTAAGCAAGCCGAAGTGGAGGATCTGCAAAAGCAGCTGCAAGCCAAGCTGGGCGAATTTGACAGCAAGGTGGAGCCTCCAGTGGAAGACTTAAAACACTTCGAGGCGTTTTTTGAAGCTATGTCTAGAGCGGGTGTGCAGCTTGACGCAGAAGCTGAGTAGCGTGTCCGTGCCCAGTTGGCAGCCGTGCCTGCCCCAGCCAAGATTGGTGTTCCAGTGCAGTCACGTGTGCCCGAGCAAAATCCAGGTCCGACGGATCGCGATCATGAAATGCTAGGAACAGGCGAGGCCGGGGCCTTGCCAGTAGGCCAGGCAGGAAAGAAGGATCGCAGCAGATCCCCGCGTACCAAGGAGGGTGTGAATCAGGGATAGGGCTATGGTCAGCGGGGTTGCAGGCCCATGGGAGTGAGCAACAGTTGTGTGACCGGTGCGTTCTCACTTGCAGCAGGGCCGGGCTCCGTGTGGCCACGTCAGAATTTCGGTAAGGCACAGTCCCAGCATGTAGACTTCAGTTTTGCTTTGCTCCTCTTGGTTCACGGGGTCACAGGTGTCTTGCTTGCCTTGTGTCAGGGTGTTGACCAAGTCATGGAGCAGCGTTTGCAGGTCTTCCGTGCGATCACGCAGTTTTGTCATACTGGCGACAAGCCCTGCCAGGGCAGCAGACTTCCGGAAGCAAGGGGAAATGCGGCCTGTGTCTTGTCCAAGGGGTTTGATGCCGAGATTTTGAGTTCTTTTCAAGGAGACTCCGAAAGTGCTCTCAAGGTGGGGTGCCTTGATCGTGAGCGCCCTTGTGATGCAGCCAGTGTTGCTCTAAAGATTCTTGTCCTTGATGTCACTGGAGTCTTGCAGTCCATGTGCCAGGGTTGTGACCGAACAATGGAGCAGCGTTTGGAGGTGTTCCGAGAAAGTTCCCTTCGTAGTTTGCTTGGTGGGGAGCCGGGCTTGGCTACATTGACCCAGGATGCGAGGGGCGCTGATAGGGTCCAGGCTGCAGCGTTCCCAGATTGCAGCTTTGTTGTTTTAGGGGGTGATGCAACAGTAGATCGTGCCGAGTGGTGCAGGGGCCAAGGTTGCGCAGATGCAATTGCAAGAGTGCCACAGGCGATCGTTTCTAACGCATCAGGGTTGGGCTGGCAGTTTCCGAAGAGACCTGCCAGGCCCTTTACATCAGGCGCGTCGTGTGCAGACTGGTCAGGACCAAAGTACTTCCGCAGGACATTTGAGTACCGCGACGACAATGCTGAGCAGGAGAGCGTGTCAGCGTCTGCGACCTGCCAAAGCCCTGTGAAAGCAGCTGTCCGTTGTGCTGTTGGTCTTGTAGAACCAAGTTGTGTAAAAAATCAGTTTTTGCCAAAGGATGGGTCTCCAAGCGTTTCCGAGCTCCAACCCCGTAGTTTGGCTGCGCTGGGACAACGTTGTGTGTCACCGGGAGAGCAGGTCCTTTCCAGGTGTAGATCGGTGGGTGATTGCGTTGTTGATGGTGCTGGTGGGAGTGCATCTTTCGATGATGCTGAGTGTGTGCTCAAACCTAAAGGCTCCCTTCAGGCGTACGCTGCAAATGGAGGTGAGGCTAACTGCAATGATCATCCGGTAGGTTTGCCCGGGCCGTTTTCGTCTCCCACTGTGCCCTCTCCTTGTGGTGATGTCGATGTTAGCCGAGTTTGTGGAAAGACTGCAAAAGACGATAGCGTTTCCTTTGCGAATAAAAATGATGTTTTAGCTGCCAGGAGTACGCCGTTGGATGACCAGCAGGATGATCCAGGTCTGCACGTAGCCAGTTTTAGCACGCAGTACAGGGACCCTGTTAGGCGCGGTTCGGTGGGTATTGAGGGTGGTAGGTTAGTTCAGGCTTCATCTTGCACCACGTCCCATGGCACCGCAGTCTCAGAGGGGCTAGGCCAGAGCCATTTTCCAAATCCTAAGGCTGGGGATCCAAAGCAGTCTGCGGTGCAATGCAAATCAGGCACTTTTCAAGTGGCAAAGCCGCGGAATGGCGAGTGGGGAGGGGTCTGGGAAAGCATTCGTGCCCTTGCTCCGGTTTCCCACCTTGCCCCGGACCACGCTAAACAGTTGATTGATGTTGTTACGGCGATTGAGGCTGCTTTCCCAGAGGGTTCTTGTGCATATAGCGTGGGCTGGCGCATCATGTCTGGCCTAGAAGGTGAGGAGCAGGCTTGGAAAGAAGCCGCAATCCTTAGCGAGTTTCTGCTTCAATATCCAAGCATGTCTGACAAGCCGGTGGATTGCAACATTTTCTCGCCTGCGGCCCCGCAGCACTCTCCGGACTCCTTTCGAGGATGCCCTATCTTAACCCCTGCGTGTAGCCAGACGGCCCAGCGAGGGCCTTTCCATGCATCAGTCAGGCCAGGTCCCAAGCATGTGATAAAGAAAGTTTCTTCGCATCTAGTTGAGGATAGCTGGTGCCCCGTAGGTGCAGGTGATCATGTGTGCAGTGTTTCTCAGGTCGCTCCAGCGGATCTCGAGGTCGGTTTCGCTAATGTCACATCATTCAATGCATCAGCTTTGGCCTGGGTCAATACCTGCGGATGCGCTGCGATAGGAGTCCAAGAGACTCACCCTCAGTCCTGCGCAACTGCATGACAGGCGAGGCACCTTGCAAGCCTTGCGTTGGAACACTTTTGGTGAGCCTGCCCACTTAGGAGACAGCGGGCACAGGATAGGGGGTTTGGCGTGGGTTACCAGGAAGCATCGTGGGTTTTGGCAAAAGCACAGGTACTGTGTGGAAGGAGCGGGCTTCGAAGCGGTTGGGCTCCGAGCAGGGGGTCTGGACTATACGCTCAGGGTGATATATCTCAAAGACTCTGAGGGGCCAGCTGGTCCGAGAAATGGGGATATCCTTGCCAATTTGGCGGCATATGTCCGTGCCTTGCCGGAGCCTTGGGTGATAGGTGACGATTTCAACTGCACGCCGGAGGAACTTATGGAGCATAGTTTTGTCCAGGTTCTATGTGGAAGGCTTTTGGCGGTTCACGAAATGACGTGTACGCAAGGGCAAGGGTCCGAGCTAGATTTCGTCATCGTTAGCCGCACCCTAGAAGCCCTGACCACGATCAGGATCGATTGGGCTGTGCCGTGGAAGCCTCACTGTGCCCTGATCGTAAGCATAAAGGGTGCAGGAGCAGCAGACCCGCAGTGGAGAGTGCAACAGTTCAGCAAGCTTGCGCTTGACCTCGCCGAGGACGAGTGGCCGCGAGTTTCCGCGACTAACCCGGAAATCATGTGTGCTGTCGGTGATGACCCGGTCTCTGTTGGACTTGCTTGTTGGGCTAAGGCCATGGAGGTTTGCAAAGGTTCTATCCAAGGCAGGGGCCAGTCCGTGCGGGCAGTCTGGGGAACTCTAGCACTCTAGCTCAAACCAGAGTTTTGGCCCACAGTAAGCTAACTTTGACCGGTTGGTGGGGGCGGATGCGTAAATGCATAGCTGGGCTGCAGGCGGGTTTGAGAGGAAACCTGTGGAAGCAGACCCGCGGAAATGCACAACAGGCGGATGTTTGGTTGGAGGCTGCAAATTGGCCAGACGAGGCCACCGCCTTTTGTGTCAAGGTTTGTGATGCCTTCCACGGCCAACGTGCCGAAGGACTGCAGAGGCTCTTGGAAGAGGCCCAGGTGTCGGAGTCAGAGGCGCAAGTTGCACAAAGCAGGCAGAGTCAGAGCTTGCAAGACTTCAAGCAGTGGATGAAAATGGGCACTTGAACGGCCTTTCCTTGACAAGCCGGTAGCCGAACGCTCGAGGTTGCGCCGACAACAGTGGGTAGGTATCTGGGGAGAGGCCCGTCGCGAGTTGGTCCTTAGCCAGGAGCTTGTCACCAAAGCACAGGAAAGCACTTTGCCTTCCATCACAGGAGATGAGATTTCCGTGATTGTTCACAAAGCCGCTGACAAAGCAGGAGGTTTAGATGGCCTCACTTATGCTGGCATGAGGGGGCTACTGAAGCAGGCTTATGAAGAGCTGGCTACGGTGCTCAACGCAGCCGAGGCTGAGCTGCAGGCCCCGATTCACTGGACACAGAATCAAGTCAGTATGATTCCCAAAAAACCCAACATTGAGCGACCCATCACATTAACATCAGTCTCCTACAGAGTGTGGTGCTTTTGCCGACGACCTGCGGTGCAGCAGTGGATGAGGGAAACTCAAGCAAGCACGCCTTGGGATAGAGCCACACCGGGCAACACATGTTTGCAGGTGGCCATCCATCGCCTTCTCAAGGGAGAAGTCAGCAGGCAAGGGGAAATCTCCTTGATCTTGAAACCTTCTATGATCTTGTGGACTTGCAGGTTTTGGAGCAAAGATTGGTTGATGCAAATTTCCCCCCCAAGGTGGCTGCCCTAACACTGCAAGCCTATCGTGGCACACGACATATTGTTAGTGAAGACATCTTGAGTGCATGCATACACCCAGAGAAAGGGATCTTGGCAGGTTGCCGTTTCGCAACAGCCATGGCTCGTGTGTACCTCAAGCCAATCCTGCAAGATGTCAGCTCTTGTGAAGGACTCAAGGGTTTAGATACATGGGTCGATGATATAGGTGCTGATTTTGAAGCTCACTCTCCGCTTCAAGTGGCGAAGCAGGCATTTGCCGGTTACCGCAAGTTGGCAACTCTCCTTGCAGACAGCGGCCTCAAACTTTCCGAGGAGAAGACTGGCTTTCTGGCTAGCACCAAAGAGGCGCGCAAAGCTTTGCAAGAGGTTTTGACCACTAGCGATCCGAAAATCTTTCAAAGTATGAGGGATTTAGGGGTTGATTGTGGTTTGGGCAGGGTAAGGAGAGTCAAAGTGCAACGGAAGCGCTGGCAAAAGGGTAGGGGACGGAAGCAGAAGCTGGATAGACTCAGGGTGCCAGATCAATCATTCCGCATCCGCCTGTTCTGCGGCGGTGTATGCTCCTCGCTGATGTGGGGCCACCAGGCGCAAGGTTTCCCCCCTAGTAGAGTGACGTGGCTTAGGCGAGCTGTTGGTCAACAAATGGGTTTACACAAGATGGGGTGCCTGGAGGTAGCGCTAGCAGCTCAGAGCCACAGAGTACGTGACCCATGGGCTGATGTGCTTACACAGCAAGTGCAGTCCTGGTTCAAGGCCCTCGACAGATGGGGACGAGACAAGGCGCCGATTGCACGCGTTTGGGAGCAGACTGCGGCATCTTTCAGCGACAACCGACAGAATTGGCATCATGTTAAGGGGCCTTTGGCGGCCACAGTGGGGCACATGACAGGTATCCAATGGAACGTGCAGGAGGCCTTCGTTTGGAAGCGGCCGGGCCAAGGGGCCAAGTGCAGAGTTACAACATTTTGGATGCCCAGCATAGACCGCTTGTTCTGCAGGCTTTGATTGACGACGTGAAAGCTGAGGGCTGCAGACGCATTGCACGGAAGGTTAATTGCCCAGAGCTGGTGAAAGGGATTGATTGGTCGGTTGGGCGAAAGCTGCTTTCCAGATTTATGGCCAAAGGTGATGCCCTTAGGTACCAAGGGTTGAAGGCTTTGTGGCAGGGCAGCCTTGTCCATGACGGCAATAGTCCCGTAAAGACGTGCCCAAAGTGCAATGTTGCAGCTAGTTGGCGTCATGTCCTTCTTGACTGTGATTGGTGGCTGGACAAAGGTTTCGACACTCCTCATTGGTATAACCATGAGTCAACCGTTGCATCTAAGCTGCCGTGGACTCGGGGCCTGCGTGTTGCCACCAGGTTTGCGATTCCGGAACTCTGCGAAAGCACCGGTTTATGGCAGGATGCACACACCATTGATGGTCGGGGTCTCACTTTCAGTACCGATGCCAGCGGAGGGCCTTTCACTCGAGATGCTAGACTTCGGGTGGTTGCGGTTAGTGTTGCGGCCTTCAAGTGGGTAGACAATCAGCCTGTGATGCAACCCTTTGCGCAACGCTTCCTGGCCAGCAAACCGTTTTCCGCGGAGAGCTCTTTGCGGTCTTGCTCTCACTCCAACATGTTGAGGGGCCTATTGATTGCACTATGGATTGCCTTGGAGTCCATAAGCGGCTACGTGGTACGTGTCAAGGTAAGTTTCATGCTGACCTTTGGGAGCAAGTGAGGCAGCAAGACCCACAGCGGCTCAAAACTGTATGGATTAACTCTCACCTTGGCGAGCGTGAGTTTGTCGAGAAGTTCGGAGCCGACCAGTTGTGGCGTCGTGACACAAATGCTGTGGCCGATAAGCTCTGCAATGACCTAGCTCACAAACTCGCAAACCATCAAGGTGCCAGGACTCTGCATGCAGAAGATGCGGTTTTTGAAGCGACTCTTGAGTTGCTCAGTGGCCGTGCCGCCAAGGTCTTAACCAGTCAAGGTGATGAAGCTCACCCTTGCGTCAAAAGTTTTGAGGCCGCTAAGGCTGCCAAAAAGCAAGCTTCCCAGGTTGACATAGGCGGCAAGCCCAGACTCTGTAGGAAGCGCATTGGGGCCAATGTGGGCCACGGCCATACACAATCGCAGGCAGAATGGTTCTTGACTTTAGTCCATAGAGCACAGGATGCGAGCGGGCATTCTTGGAGATGGCAAGGGCTTGACTTGTCCTGTGAGCGATGCAGTCTTAAGCTGTTGCATAGCAAGAACCGTAAAGTCTTGGAAGCCAGAGCTGCGACACCCTGTGGCGCAGATGGACCAGCGACGTTTGACGGCGTTCACGCAACGCATTGTGTGGAAATGCTCACAATGCGGAGGGCAATTCTCGCTAACCAGCTGTCAAGTCACCGCCAAGCTTCGTGTTAAGTGCTCGCGCCGTAAGGACAAACGCTGCACTGTCAAGTAAGCGACGGCCTGTAGTTTGTTTCTTGTGAGAGCTGTTAAACAGCTAGCGCTAGATTCGCCCTATGGGAAAAGTCCGAGGAAGAAAAAAAATTCCAAACTATTTCTTTAAGGGCAGGCTTGGAAACCTGGGTTGAACCTGGGTTCAGGTTCAAACCCAGGTTTGAACCTGGGTTGAACGTCAGATTCAACCTGGGTTCCAACCTGGGTTCGGAACCTGTGTTTAAACCTGGGTTGGAATCTGGGTTGGAACCTGGGTTGAACCTGAGTTGAAACCTGGATTTGGAACCTGGGTTAAACTGCGTTTGAACTGCATTGGCGGTTTTCAAATCCAAAGTGTGTGTGCAAAATCTGGTTTGCAACCTTTATTTGAGTTTTTGAAGAACAGACGCTGTCTCTGAATTTTCATGTTTCTTCTTCCATTTTGTTCATTTTTGCCCCCTCAAGCGATTTCGCGTGGCATCTGCTTTTGTGTTGAAGAAGGCGTCTGTTCATGTTCCTTTTGTTAACTTTCGCTTTGTTGGTTTGGATTTAGAGTAGGTTCACAGTAGTTTTTTGCAAAAAGGAAGGGGATTAGAGGGACGCTCTTCCATTTTCAGGTATTCTTTTCGTTTGCGTTTAAGCCCCCCGAAGCGATTTCGTGGCATTTATTTTCTTGCTTTTTTGAACTCTGTTCTTTTTGTATTTTTTTTTGAACAATTTGGGTTGGAGTTGAAGGTTTTCGGTTTAGGCGGCTTCAAGGCGCGGGGAGTTTGAGTTTGCAATTTGCAAAATAGCGGGGAGGTTGGGGGGGTCGCAGCCCCCCATTGAGCTTTTCTCCGCGGAGGCCTCAGTGTGTCTCTGAATTTTCATGTTTCTGCTTGTTTTATTCGCCTTTAACCCCCTTTAAGCGATTTCGTGTGGGCGTCTCCTTCGTGTCGAAGAAGGCTTCCTCAGCCTTCTTTAAGCCTTGCTTCAAACCAACCCTGGGGTTAAACCTGGCTGCTTTAAACTTGGGTTCCAAACCTGGGTTAGAACCTGGGTTTCAAACCTGGGTTCAAACCTGGGTTATAACCTGGGTGTAAACCTGGGTTTTTAAACCCCGGTTCCAAATCGGGGTGAGAACCTGGGTTTCAAACCTGGGTTTGGAACCTGGGTTTAACCTGGGTTTTAACCTGGGTTAAACCTGGGTTCATTGAACCCGGGTTCCAAACCTGGGTTAGAACCTGGGTTTCAAACCTGGGTTCAAACCTGGGTTAAACCAGGGTTCGAACCTGGGTTCAACCCATCTGGGTTAGAACCTGGGTTTCAAACCTGGGGTTGGAACCTGGGTTTAACCTGGGTTTTAACCTGGGTTAAACCTGGGTTCATTAAACCCGGGTTCCAAACCTGGGGTAGAACCTGGGTTTCAAACCTGGGTTCAAACCTGGGTTATAACCTGGGTTTAAACCTGGGTTTAACCCGGGGTTGAACCCAGGTTCGAACCCAGGTTTAACCCAGGTTCAAACCCAGGTTCAAACCCAGGTTAAACCCAGGTTTCAAACCTGGGTTCCCTGGGTTGTTGTTGTTGTTCCCCCCCCCCGGGGGGAGGGAACCCAGGTTCAAACCCAGGTTCTAACCTGGGTTAAACCCCGGGGGGGGAGGGGACCAGCCTCATTGATCGCGTGTTCTGGCCATCCGGCCATGCAGCTTCCATGAAGATCTCGTTGTGCGGTATGGGTGTGACTTCTGGTCCAATGTCTGCTCTGGATTTATTAATTGGGAATCCATGCACCTTAGAAGAAACAAGAAGCAAGAATAAGAGGCAACTAACACCTGTACAGAGTGAAACAAGGAGGCTGCTACATACAGACTTCGCGGGCAAAGTCGTTCACCATTAATTAATGTGCAATCGGATCTAATTGCGCTCACTGGCCTTGCTTCCCGCAATCTTGGGTCGCGCAATGGGCTACATATGCAGAGCTGCCACCCCTTTGTGGCTGTGAAAGACATCTGTGGTGCAGAATCGATGGACTAAGCGGGCAAGGCCCAATGCCCTGCAAGACCAATCTGTCGGACTCAGTTTCATGAAGCTTTGGAAGATGACGGCACAGTTCAAACCTTGATCTTCTTCAATCTCCTTTAAGTCTCCCTTCGAGGAGTCCCTTTTTGAAGTCTCCCCCTTGAAGAGTCTGACCCTTTAAGTCTCCCTTCAGACCCTCTTTCAGGGACGTGAAGTTTAACAGAAGTTTTCAAGAGCTTGGAGGGAACCTTCAAGTTCCCCTTCACTGAAAAAGTGGTAGGCTCTTTCAGAAAAGATTAAAACCGGTGAAGTGCCTGCTTGCAACTCTTGCAAGCAAACATGTTGCGTGGGCTGAAATCGCTCGATTGTTGTTTCGACTCTGTTCTTCGGCTTGGTCTCTTCAGTTTGACCGAGTCTTGAGCAATGCCTCAATTCCACCTAGAAACAGCATTGACTCTGGACCAGCAAGCACACAAAGTGGTGGCAGACCGCTTTTTGGGAAACTTCTCCAGCTTCGATCGGAGAGTCGTTGATGAAGCATTCTCAGCTAGAAATAGAGAAAAAGGAAACTCGTTCCGAAAAACCCGCGCGCCAACATTGAACTCCAGTGTCTTGGACGCGGCACAAATTTTAGTATTTTTGGTTGTAGCATCACGAGGATGTCTGGAAATTCTTGTCCAAAACTTCTGTCACCACTAAATCTCGAATTTGAGCAATGGGTCCACGCAGCCAAAAAGACTCTTCCGGAAGTTCTGAGTCCGTCGACGTCGCCCAAGGAAGGGCAGCAGCCGGCTGGCTGAATTTGGAGAAACTGGTGTCCAATCCCAGAGCCACCAGCTGCCAGCTGCGTTGAGATTCGACGAAAACCATGACGCTTCATGCCAACCTGCGAGCCAGCTCACTGCCGGATCGACGATTGAGAATGGTTACAAGTCTGAATTTGGCCGGTGCCAAGCCGTTGGGTCTTGGATGTTTGGTTCTTGGACCTTTGAGAAACGCGCCCGAAAATGGGCCGCCCTAAAACAGCTTGAACGTCATTCGACGATTTTCTCCAGAACCAACAAAAATTTCCAAACCAAATACCACGCAAAAACGCAGATGCAAAAGAACAGTTTGCCTTTGGGTCTTTCTATGTTCAGTATCATTCGCTTTAAACTTGCAACACCTACTGCGATGACGCACACCGTGCAAGTTAGCGTGTTGCAATCTGGAAAAAGTCAGGAGTACATGATTGCGGAGGGACAGTGGCAGTAGCAACAGTCATGGTGTTGTAAGTAGCTGTCGGAAACATGATCTTGGCATGTCGTGGCAGCGGCAGCAAAAGCAATGAAGCATTGCCAACGAAATCACTGAGGTGATGATCATCGTGGTTGGTAAGATAGGCTTGTCATCTTTCACAGTCGACCTCTTTGAGCTTTCCAAGAGGGCTTTACACGTGTGAGATTTGATGCGTACTGTAGCAACCTTTTGAAGCCGATTCCTAAAATGAATGTTTGCACTTGAGCAATTGTTTTTTCGAGCTGTTGATGCTGGAACGAAGACCACCTGGAAAAGTTGATCACGGTCTGGAACATAAAACTACGAAGAAGTACATTAGCAACCACATTCCTTCCCGTAAGTGTCCTTGAAAGACACCTGAACATCTGAACAGAGGACCTGTGCACTTCGTGGATGTCGGCAGGTTCAACTGCGCGGCATGTTTGCCCTATCGGTGTCATATTATTGTCGAGGTGAGGCATGGACTTGCATGTCTCCGCAGCCGGCTGGAGAAACACATTTACACCGCGATCATGCGCGTGATGCTGTGGGCTGTGGGTCCGAACTTCAGCATTTTGCTGATTGTTCACCGAAGTATGAGTCTATGCATATACACAGTCGTGTTAGCACTCGGCCTCGATGATGGCAATCAAGAAAACTGCAATCTGCAACGTGCCATACTCCTCAGCCAGACAACGCCGCAAGACATTTGTTTGATTTCCATGGCTTCTTGACGCATCGGCCAGTGGCATCATGGTTTGCTGCAGTCGGAGCCCTGGGTCCAGGAGTCCAGGCTTCAGGCAGTCGGTAATATTGACAGAATCAAGACAGCAGCTGCGTGCAACTGGCGACCTGAGCTGTGTCAACCGTAAACGCAGGTTTGTGGTGTCAGACTTTCTGTGCTTCTGTTCCAAGTAATTAGTTTTCACACAATCATTGAGTATGTTGCTCAGGTCATGGAGGGCGGCCGCAGCAATTTTCCTGCTGCCCTGGTTGGTTGGCTCGCTTATGTCTGCATCGAGAGCTATTCTCACCCTGCATGTAGCACGTGGGAAGGAAATGCTTTACGGACAAGGGTGGGTGCTCAGTTGGCTAGCCGATGATCCCGGAAAATCTCGGCGTTTCTGGTTGGCATGCGATGTCTTTCTTTCGATTGGCCAGATGCACTTGTTTTACTACCAGCAGGGCTTGTTCGCAGAAGAGGCTGGACACTAAAGCTGCCCACATGCCTGCATATGTTTGCTTGTGGTGATGTTAGTCGGTCACAGTGTTTCTTGAATCGAGACGTTGCATTGTTTATCCTAGTCTTTCATGTGGCGTGGTCCAAGCCGTTTCCGTCGTGTCAAGCCGCTGCGAACTGGACGAGATGTAAGTCGCACCTCTCTGTAGATGCTTGCAGAATCTGGAACCCGCGATGTCACGATGCTTTGCTGCGGATCTGGTGGCTCAGGAAACAAGCTCCACCTGGAACTTACTTGGCCAGGTTGTGGCCACTCGACTGTTATTCTAAGTTCGCTGTCTGGTTCTTCACATGGTCTGCGAGCAGCATTGCACAAGCAGCCCGTGGGTACATCTTGGAATCGTCCACTTTGGCTGCTAAGCCCCAAACCTTAAGCCCCACATGAAGAAGATGCGACCAGCCAAGTCGCCAACAACACCGCCACGGCAGCCCGTGGAGTCGCCAGGCGTCGAGGTGGCAGAAGCCTTGTGCCTTTTCAGATTGTATCGAACTCTCTCTGAAACCGGGCATGCTACGTCGATGCAGGGCTCCTGTCCGTCGTCCGAGCCGCAGGAAATTCAGCTACCTCGTGGCGAAAGCGCTGAAGCAGGCTTGACGTGGTATGTGGGAGCTTCACACACCCAGGAGGTCTGGCGCCATCCAGTGCAGTCGCAGATACTGGGAGCTTGATTCAACTGTCGAAGCGTCAACGCAGAAGATCTTGTTGCTTCAAGTTGCAAGGTGCCGCCGCTGAGGAGACTGAAGATCGCGAGAGCAGGCTGAGGCAAGGAAGGAGAGCTGCTCATGGTTGTCGGTGTTCGCACAAGAGTTTTCAAGCTGCTACTGCCAGGGGTTTCCAGTGACTGGAGTGCACGATACGCTTGGGTTCACCATGTGGGTCACATAACTCAAAAACGCACCAACACATGTCAGCATGTGCAAACTAAATGGATCGTGCAGCAACTGCACGCGAGGTCACTTCGAACGAAGCGTGCAGAGTCTGGATCTGATGGGCTTGGTATGTGCTCAAGGGCCCTTTCACTTCAGGAGTGAACGAGGGACCCGTGATGCTTTGAGATTCGAGAGGCTTTAGCCTGCAGTGATTTGACAGAACTGTTCTTCAAGGTGCTCGGAGGAACAAGCGTGTGTCAGGAAGCCCATCCAGCCCATCCCCCCTGCTTTCCTCTGAGGCTGGAGGCCAAGCTGCAGGCAGGCGCACTGCGTGCAGAGAACGAGGTGGGATCGGAGCTGCAGCTTCTCAGCTCGAAGCACCAAAGGCTTCGAAGTCGAACTGGCCTGTTTGGGAGGTCCTGGAAGATCGCGTGATGCGGGCTCAGGAGGAGCTCTACTAAAATTCGTGATCAGATAACTTAGGCTTGAGGCCTTGTTTCTGATCCCTGTGGAACTTTGACCATGTTTCAGACTCCTCTAGCTGATGAAACGTTAGCTGGGCCAGCCTGGGGACCTGTAGCAAGCAAGCAATGTCAGTTTTGGGGCATCTCGCAGGATTTCTTGGGCTTGCAAGCGGAGTTCAAGGCCATGAAGGCACTGCGGATCCCGGTGTCACAGCTGTAGCTCTTTTAGCTCTCAGAGCTCGCAGAGTCAAGTCTCGAAGGAACAGCACAACGAACGCCTAGATTCGCTTCGGCTGGCTTTGGAGGCAGTCTCACGGGACACGGGTAGACCATGTCCGTCGCCTGTGCTTCCTGGTCTCAGGAGCAGCAGAAGGATGCCGAGCAGGCGGACCGGCGCGTGGTCTGTGCCGAGGCACCGTCCATGTTCTGGTCCACGGTTTGTGTTGCTGTCAGCTCTCTAATATGCCGCAGTGCATAACCCATATTACTCGATGTGGAATCTTGTAGAAAGCAGACGGGCACCGTGCAGATGATGACGCATAGATAGATATTCGGATAGGCAGACAGATAGATCGATAGAAATCCAGATAGACAGACAGATAGATAAATAGGTAGACAGATAGGTTGAGATAGATAGATCTGTTCACATATGCAGCCCATGCACGTGCACCTTGTTTTGTATGGTGAGAAAGGGCGGAGGACAGTCAGACTGAGAGTGAGCCATTGAGTAAGTTAACGGACAGCCGGATACTAATGCGAAGTCGTGAGTGAAGCCGGTCCACGCAGGATCTGGTGCGCTTCCACCAGGAGCAGAGGAGGATGATGGCGAGCCACTGGAAGCAGCAGTGCCAGATGAAGGACCGTCTCGCATGATCGGCTGTGAAGTTCAGGGGCCGTCTCTTTCTTATCTGATGATACCACGTAATCCCGCATGCGCAGATTATCATCGCAGGACGAAAGGATCCGATACCTGAATCTTCAACTGACAGAGCGCCTTGGTTCGGACTGCGGCTCACGGCCCCGAAAGAGGGCAAGAAACCTGGCTTCGGTTTTTGCTTCAACGGTTGTCTGAGAGTCTTGACAGAGACGACAAATTGAAAATTCTGCTGTTCTACGGTCCTAGGCTGAACCTCCAAATCATGTTTTCATTGCTTCGTCGAGGTTAAGATTCTGTGACTTGCAAGCTGAGGTACACGATTGACTGGCAGCAGCTGGGTGTCCAAAGACAAACAGAGGCCACCTTTCCATAAACTGCACGTGCTGCGACGGCATCAAGGTGCATCCCAAGCCCGTGCACGCTGTGGCATCCTATCTGTAAGAGCAGATTTCAGCTTCTGCCTCGAGGCAAGCCTGTCCCACGAGCACTACTGCCTGGAGGAGAGCTCACAGAGAGTCAGAGACCCGACCGACCCTCTTTGAAGAGGCTGTTGAAACGCGTTGCAAGGACCGTCATCGACACCTCCTGCAGACCCAGCGCAGCCTGACAGCAGAAACCTCGAGGCTGGCTAAAGTGGCTACAGGATTTCGTTCCATCTAAAATCTGGTGGTCTGAAACTTGTGGGCGGAGTCGTGCTCTTCAGCATGCCCTGATTCGCTCGAAGTTTTGTAGTGGACAGCTGGGTAGAACAGCAAGATCACATCACGCACGCAGGCTGGAGTCGCGTCTCCAACAGGCGAATGCTGAGGTGAAGCCTCCTGTTTTGGGATGGTTTGGGGGCCAGCTTAAGGCCGTGGTGGACCTCTGTCTCACATCTGGGGCTTCCTGGGACGTCTCTGCTGTCGGCCCTCCTGGGAAGCTCCGAAACGCCACGGGCCAATCCAGGAAGCTCACCTCACGGAGGCGCTGCGCCTCGCCGAGGCACCGCCGAAGGACGCAGGAAGAGGGGTCTGCAGACTCACTTTCGGGATAAGAGGCTGAAGAGGCTAACAGAGGCTAGGGGTTGCGGTAAACACTTCGGAGCAGCGTGGGCCTTGCATGGTAGGCCCTGGGACTTCAGACTTTTGGACCATGGGTGTCGGAGTTCAGAAAGTTGATGTCCTGGCAGCCAGGGCATTGCTTAGAGGCTTGGCATGGATGTGGATGTTGCTTATCTACAACTATTCCAGCAGAACATGCGTATTTGGCTCTTGTCCCTATACATGGGAAAGTAACACGGATTCTTTCAAGAGATGTATGCAAGCATGCATGTGCACACGTACACATGTCATTCTAGAGCCTGAGAACTGTAGCTCAATGACGTGGGTTCTCTCTTGGCCAGCAAGGTGCAGGTGTCCTGCAGTAGGCTGTTCAATGCACGCTATCGCTGTCGTCGCTGGCACTTTTCGGGATGGGAGGCTTGTGAGCCTGCCTGTCCTGTGGCCAGCATCGTGTGAATATGTGCAAATACTGCATGATATTGATATTGCTAACGGTTTCACGATGTTCCCGTCCTGAGTTTCTGTGGAGGAGGAGGGCATGGAACTGAACGATTCCAAACGCATATGGACGTATGAACACATATTCGACAATTGTCCACGAACATAGAAACAACATATAACAATTTCGTTTGCGTGCAAGAAATGAAAGTTTCACGATGTGTGCTCTGTGAAATATGATTTGCAAGCATTAAGGCAAGTCTTCGCGAAGAGGTACCATAACTAGTCGGATATCTACGCACACATAATTTGTATGTTATCAGTTGTTATCATGTAGCTACATGCACACACACATATTTTTATATATACATATATATGCCCATCTATATATATATATATATATAATATATATATATATATATATATATATATATATGTATATATATATATATATATATATATATATAAACGCATGTACGTACATAGATGCATCTGTACCCATCCATCCCTCCATCCCTCCATGCCTGCATGCGTCCGTCCGTCCGTCCGTCCATCCATCCATCCATCCATCCATCCATCTTTCCATCCATCTTTCCATCCATCCATCCATCCATCCATCCATCCATGCATCCATGCATCCATGCATCCATGCATCCATGCATCCATGCATCCATGCATCCATGCATCCATCCATCCATCCATCCATCCAAATCCTTCCATCCAAATCCATCCGCCTCTATCTCTCCCGCTGTCTCCCTGGTGTCTTTCCCCCTCTCCCTTTACGTACTCATGCATGGCATTTCAGACTCGCTTTTCTTTATTGGTGTTCTTCCTGGTGCTGATGAATAGTGCGGGAGGACAAACCACAGGAGGGCAGGGCCGGGCTTTCGGGTGCGGGGCAGGGGTGGGGAGAGGGATACGCAACCATGCAAAGGGAGGTTGTTTTGGGATTGACTCCGGGTTGTTTCTGCAGGAGTGTTAACTGTCTGAGTGTCTGCAGGTCAATCTCGGTGAAGGATGCCAGCAAAGTCCTGGTCCTGAGGACGGGACTTCGAATCCTTCCAACGCACACAAACTGTGATATTCCTTGTGCCTAATGGTTATGGCACTTCTGGGGCGCCTGCAGACTCTTGCTTCGGGTGTTCGGGTGCAGTTTGTGAGGCCCGGCTGAATCTGGTGTACGGTTTCGGTGTCTGGGCCTTGAGCTTCAAAGGAGACTGCCGCCGATGTGGCGGAGCCACGCGTGCAACGGTGGAAGGACGTGTCGTCTGATTTTTGAGACTGAGCTATGCGAGAGGCGAAAGGCAGAGACGACCCCTTTGCATCGCGTTAGCATTGGCTGCCAGTGGTCTAGGCTGTTATGAGAAGTGTCGGCTGCCATGGAGCCGTCATGGAGCCTGTACTGAGCGCATCGGTAGCGAGATTGTTATACTCAGTGCTTCTCGATTACTCGGTCGTTCTCACAGAGATTGAAGCTTTGAGTCGCCCTAGCCATGGGGGGATACCTGTCTGGCCGCTTCGAAGCGAGCGTCGCAGCCGTGGTAAAGGAGGCAGACGAGCCGGTAGTCTCGGCTGTTTTGCAATCCCGGTGTCCCAGCTTTTGAGGCCAAGCTATCTGCGCGAATGGCTGTGGAAGCTTGTTATCTCATTGGTCAACTTTTGAACAGCAGTAGAAGGCCCAGAGCCGCACGAAACCAGACAGCAGGTGCTGAGAGAGCACTCCACCATCGTCCAGCCGTCTGAGATCTCCAATGCAGATGAGGTGCTTCACGTCACCGGTTGCATGAGCTGCATTCTTCCCTCATGCACGGAGAGCATAATGTATCACAGGCTTTCTACGAGAACCAGCTGATGGATGCCCTGAAGAAGGACAGTGGCAGATGATTAGACTCATCCCGTCTTTGTCTGGAGGGCTATGAGATTGCTCTCTGGTCCGAGGAGGGTATGGAGACTTGCAACTTGATTCTGGGCATCGACTTCACCCGGCAGCTCGGCTGTGCTGATGGGGCCGGGCCGCCGGGCCGCCGGGCGGCTGCCTGGGAAACCCAGGTCCAACCTGACCCAGGGCAAGGAGACCTTCCACAACCTCAGCTTGCATGCTCTCAGATCGCCACACGGTCCCAATCCGTACCAGCGCAGCATCGTTCCTGGTCTGCAAGAATGGCACATGGCGCAGCGGCCTTGCGATATAGCATCGAGTGTACGTGCTCGCTGACCTGGAGCAAGGACATCGTGATGAAGGCGCGGGGCCCGGGCCCAGCCTTATTTGTACCACGAGAAAACCTCTACACCAAACTCACTGCCTTGCGCAGACGCTCGCACCGATGTTCGACGAAGACGGCCTTGTTCCCGCCTTTATCTTCGGAGATGTGCGCGCACCAAGGATGTGACAGTGTTCGGTGAGAGCGAAGTGGAAGCATGGGGTAGTACGCAGGTATGGGATTAGGGTTGAAAATCAAGCATTGCAATATGTTTTCCGCATGCCTGCATGCGGCCACTGTTCCAGGTGTCGACCAAAGACCGTGCTGTCCGACCTCTTGTATCAGGTCCCGCTTCATGACTTCATGGATGTTGAGCAGCAGCAGTGAATCTTTTGGGTGCGAACCCCCGAGCTCTCGGCTTGGTTTCAACAGTCCCAGGAAGTTTCTGTGTTCCGACTCTCCACAAGCCTGTCAGGCCATGACAGCATACTCGTCGACGAGATCCTGCCCGCCTACAACAAGGCCAGAGCCTAACAGAACCTCTATGAACATTCCCGACCGCCACAGCAACATCTGCAATATAAAATGTCATCAGAAACTGAGCCGGTTCAAGTACGTAGTCTAGTGCATACCACAGCTAGCCGGCGTGAAGTAGCAGTTGGCGAAGCATGTACTGTTGTGCCACATGGTTTTTTGGAATGTCATGTACAGTAATTTGCCGCCATGTACAGCAGCGAGATGCGCTGCTGTCGTTCATAATGTGATGATGTGCAATGTCGTGCAATGTAAGGTAATGTAACCAAAGCATCGACGACTCGCCAGATCAGTGGCCAATGCTAGCACTTGATCTGTACTGGAGGTGAACAAGGTATGTATGTGAATTGCTATCACAAAGTAGTATACAGTGCAAGGTAGTGTGCTGCAGGATCACGTAGCATGAACAAGACAGGCTATGTGCAACTCCTGCTGTGTGGCCTCGCATCGGTTGTGAATGCTACGTTTTGCTGCAATAGACAATGCCCTCTACCTTGAAACCTTAATCTCGTACAAACATGTAGAAAGCTTGTAAAGCTCTGATAAGACTCTTATAGAGCCCTTACAAGCACAAAACCATAGATCTTTCGGGAACTGGTCCTGCGGAGGCAGTCGAGCAGCTTGGAGCGGGTGGCTATGGCCTTTCCGGGCCCACTTCCTTTGCTCCCTTGATTTACAAGGTGCGCCGGACAAAGGTTGAGGAAGACATGCTGATTGGTAAGGTCTTGGAGGGCATGATATGACAGGTCGGTGATGGTCGGTGTATGTTCATGGATCCTTTCACACCTTTCCGTGTGGCTTGCAACGTGGTTCTAGTATTTGGGATTTCCTTAGCGACCCGTAACAGCACGGACTTGACGCCAGCGGGCCTATGCCAAAATGTGCGATACTTCATCTTTTGAACGTCGCTGCCTCTGGCTCCCTGCGCAGAGAGAGCGCTTTGAAGGTGCTTGGGCTGGGGTTAGCCTCGCCATGGTGACATGCAGACACTGGCCTCATATGCCTCATGAGCACAATACTGTGCACTGCAGTCTGACTGCATTGGAGCGGCAAGAGTTTGACAGCCTTGAAGACCCTGAACTCATAATGGTGACTTGCCGAGGCTCCTTTTGGGCAAGCTCCGGGATGCTGATCATGACGTTGCAAGCGGCATGCTCATGGCGTTTGTAAAGCGACGCACATTCGAAAGCACATCTCCTGCTTTTCTGGAATCACCCATGACCATTTGTGTGATTCATGTGTAGTTCCTGTTTGAACACCTTATCAAATTTACAAATGCCAGCTGTGCATGTCTGTTATTGAGTTGGAGCAAAGCCCAACCGCAATCGTTCGGGCGATTCATGCCAACGTCCAGAAGCACCAGTGGCAAGCTGCTCTGCAGCTGATCCAGCTTCAACTGTCTCTGAAACCGGATGTGATCTGCTACGGTGCTACAATGAATGCTTGCGTCCGTGCTGCGCACTGGCCAGCCGCCCACGTGGGCGGCTCAGAGCACTTGGAATTGTATTCAGCTTGCAAGAGCAGAAGTCAAGCGATTGAACACACCTGTCGACGACTGTCGAGACTTCCGAGTGTCAGTTAGTGGAAATGTTCGTGCAGCTTAATGAACTCCCAAGCATGCCTACACCGCTCTGTACATGGAGTTTATCTCGATGCCGAAGTCTTTGGGATGCTGAGGTGCTCTTGGGCTTGATGCCGGCTGTAAAGCCACTTGGAAGCGGTTTTCGGATTCCGCGACATCAAGGCCATGAGGATGAGCAGGAAGGTGTCGACATTTCATTCTTTCCTGTAGGTGCCACCCCTGCAGACTGAAGCCCCCATGCATCTGTTTGGCCACATTTTGCATGGATTTTGACCTGGCTGAAGATTTTCAAGTCTCAAGAGTGAACGAAACACGTCGGCCACCTGCAAAGGCTCCCTACGAATACTATCATCTACAACTGCGACGCTCGGCCAAAATCCCTGTCGCGTCGTCCTCGTGTGGATCATCCTGTCTTGATGTCCAGAACGTATCAGTGAGGCCATCTCGGGTGCGGAGCGAGGAGGGCAATGGCGGCTGGCTACTCGGACGGAACTCTCAAGCCTTGAAGTATCGGCTGGTTTCACAAGTTGGGCTTTTGCTGCGTGCGGCGAGAGATTGGAAAAGATTGGGCCTTTCACTGCCGCCTACTTCGGCGGTCCAGCGAGGCGCACACCCTGCTGCGATCCGCTGTGCAAGCCCGCGCAGCCGACGTCGTTGGTTTCAGCCGCCCGCAGGAGCAAAGAATCATCAATAATTGGAGCAGGCTAGTTGAGAAGAAGATTGGGACGCCCCGAAGCCTCAGACAAATTGCGGCAACGACCGGATGTGCGGCTTTAGTTGGCTTGCCGACGTTTTCGCGACATGAAAAGAATCAGCACGACCAAGGAAGCGGGCCCGCGGTGACCTTTTGGCCCCTTCTCCGTCCTTCCGTCCTTTCCCAACGGAGTCGGATCGAGTGCTGTGAGAGTCTCGGCAGCCCAGGTGCGGCCATCAGTGCTGCAGCCTTCGGGCCTTGGTCTTCAGCCGTGGCGCTGCTGAGGTGAAGCCTGAAGTGCTAAAGTCTTATAGAGATTTGGAGCTTCAATGGTTTCTGCATGGATGAAGGTGGTAAGTGGTAAGTTTAGAAGTAGAAGAAGTACATGAAGAGTTCTTGGGAGACAGGCAGCTCTGGAAGGGTGCCTCCTCAAGTCCGAACGAGTTCAGTGCTTTGGTGGCAGCTAGCAGCCCTAGCCTCCATTCTGCTCTGGCTCTTCGGCTTTTGCCTACCCTATGCAAGAATGGGGAACCGAACCAAGCCTAGAGACTGCATGCTTCTAGAACATGCTGATGTGGTGTTCCTACGACTGCTGTCATTTTCTTTTGCGTCACTTCTCGGATCTATAAGGTGTCAACAGTGCCATCACAGCCTGTGGAACCGGTTCGGCTTGGGCAGCGGCTCAGGTGGGCATATGTCCATGGAGGGACACCCCAGTCCCAAAGCATTCTGCCCTCAAAGGCTTTCCGTCTCAGGTGTTAGATCGCGCCTCGGTACTGCTTATGAGCTTCAGGTCTTGTGTGGCCGAATCTATGAGATCCGCGTGCCAGATGTCATCAGCTACACTGCTGCGACTCGCTTTGTCTTTGGCACTTCCGATAGGAAGCTGAAGGTCTTTGGGCTTGGGCGTGTATGTGTGGATACGTGATATAAATTCAACTGACCCTTCAGATGAAACCTGGTTTGAAGGCCGCTACACCTGTTACTGTCAAGCCGGAAGCCAGGAAACATCTAACACAAACTTCCCGCGCAACGCCTTCTGCTTACTCCAACTTCAGGTCATCACGGCTTGCGGCGATGCGGGGCACTGGCAGCAGACAGTGCTGGCATTGCGACAGATGGAGGCAGCTTCGTCCATGTCAGTACTTCATTTTCTCATCGCCGCTCTTGGTGGTGCCTTTACTTTTGCTACCTCATTGATTGCACTGTAGGACGATCAGTGTCCTGTTCCCACGAGCTTGCGAACAGCGATCTTATCGTTGAGGTCTGCAGGGTCGCACGCAACATCGCGACCTTGAACAGTGTCATCGAAGCCTGTGAGAGGAGCCGCCAGGAGGGTAGCGGTTTCGGTGGCAATGTCAGCACGGGCAGTGCATCCCAAATCTTGAGCGACGGGTGTATCATGATCGAATCGATGGGGCTTATAATTCTGAAATTCCATGAGCTGAATGGGGCGAAGAAGACTCGTGAAGGAGCTGTCGCTGGAGCTCTGCAGTTGCGCTGGTCCGTGCACGGGGAACAGTCGTGACGCCCCTCGGAACTGATGGCTGCTGCAGCTCCGCACAGTTTTTGCATCCGCCTCACCTGGACCACGGTTTTTGAACTTTGAGATCAGCCTAGACAGCGGATGGGCAACGGACCTTCGGCACGGAAGCTTGCTATAAGGCGCAAGTCGCCCAAGTGCTCGATTCCACACTTGCCTTCTGAGGTTCAGCGCGGCGATGATGGCCTGTTTGCAGGGTTCTCACTGGAGTCATTCGCTGCAGCTGCTGCGAACGCTGCCTGCCCGGTCCTCGGCACCTGGATCCAGCTCTCTCAGAGCTAACCACATTCTTCAACTGCGAATGCGAAGTTACTGTGCAGTTTCAATTCCAAAAACTGCTTCGAATAGGGAAGCCTATGACTTCACCAAGTCACTCACGTCGCTTGCGCCCCACGCGACCCGAACTCGAAATTGGACCAGGACAGGTTCCGGGCTCGAAACTTGAGACCCCCAAACAGGATCTGGAGGAACGAACCCGGTTGTTGTGGTCGTCGGCGACATCGTAGGAGTAGTGTCACCACCATATTGCTGCCCTATGTAGCCACGTCAAGCCTGTCGGCACGCCAGGCGGACTCGGAGTGTTCCTTGCAAATGGAAGGAAGGAAGGAAGGAGGGAGGCAAGGACGCCGGCAGCACCAAGCCATACCAAGCCCCACTTTTTGATGTTGAGGTAAAAGCGGGGCAATGGTATCTGGAGCAGAGACCCGAGCCCCAAGCAAGACGAAGCTCTAAACCTTAACGTGAAGCCCTACTTTCTCACCGTTTTAGAGGCTCGGCAAACAGGGCTTTCTGCGTATTTAACAGGTAGACAACAGCCGTCCTAAGATCAAGCAATCCCCGTCGCAAGTGAAGACAAATCTTTGCAAACAGCTTTCCCCCCCTGCCCACCACAGCAGATGAGCAAGAAGCAGATTTCAACAAAAAGAAAACGACTCCGAGGCCCGGAGCCTTCGCCCGGACCTCGTCGTAGCCAACTCGGCGCTCGCCGCCGCGGCTCTCGGCGCAGAGTGGCGAGGCCCTTTAAGAGACGGACGAAAGGGGTCGGGAGGGCCCCAGTGGTGCCCCGGTGGGGCCTAGGGGTTGAGGACTTCAAGACTGGTTCGCCGCGGAGGGACTCTTGCAAAGCAGAAAGTCGGGAGCACTCCAGCTCATGTTCTTGTTTGGCGCAGTTTCGATCTCCCTGCGAGCCTGTGGAAGGCGCTCTGATGTTGCTCGCCGAGATGGCTGTGCTGCAGGCAGAGACGGTGGAGTGAGGTGTTTTCTGCTTCACCTACGCTCGTGGCTACTTGCATCGCGAAAGACAGCATACCTCGGCAGTCGTTTCTTTTGGACCATGGCAGCCGTCCCGGAGGTCCGGCGAGATGCGGTGAGTTACAGCTGCGCCCTCTGCGCATGCACCTCGAATGCTCCTGGGGAAGAGGTGAAGTAAATCTGGAGCGACTGACGTTCCGCAGTTCTGCAGTGGCAGGCTCAGTTATAGACCAACAATATCATATTAGAACGCTGTGTGGCTTGCACCCCCAGCACGGCCGTAGATATCTCTACTACTAAATATATATATATATATATATATAAATATGTGCAAGTTATGTACACATTTTCGACACATGTGCAGATAGTCCATCGTAGAGTTGGTTCAGTACTTCAAAATAAGATAGGTAGATCAGTAGCATCTACACAAAGATGGCTATTATTTGATTGTCCATTCATCCAACTACTTATTTGCCCATCTGGCCTATCTATCTATCTATGTTTATATCCGTCCTAATCTCTCTGCCTCTCTCTCTCTCTCGCTCTTTCTTTCCATCTTTCGATCTCTCCATCTGTCTATCTATCTATCTATCTATCTCTCTATTTGTCTACCTGTCTGCCTGCCTGCCTGTCTGTCTGTTCATGCATCTGTCCATTTGTGTATCTGTCCATCTGTCTATCTATCTATCTATCCATATCTATCTCTCTCGACCTGTCTACATCTACGTGTCTAATCGATCTATACCTGCCCACCTACCTGCGCATCTACCTAGGCATCCATGTACCTATCTATTTCACGGTGCTTTTGTTTGTTAGCAAAGGCCTCGTCGTTGCAGCCAAGGTGCTGCTGATCGCTCGTGGCAACCTGTGCTATCTCTTCTCGGCCAGGGACCTGACAAAGGGCCACCTGGGATATGCGGTGGTCCGGTCCGTATACTGAGGACCCTTACCACTTAGGCACCATCTTGAGGCTATTGAAATCCAAGGGTTCTGCAACCTCCCGCTTAGATTTCAATGGATGTTTGGTTGGACCGTGTGATCATGATAACGAGGTTCCCATATTTGGGTCCTGTGTGTTGGGAGACTCCCATGTGGGAAAGCGCTTGAAACTTGGGATCTGTACCGGGTCTTCAGATAAAATCGGACTTTTGGAATCTCGCCAGCGTGCAAAAGTAGAAAATCGCCCATGTGGACTCTGAACGGGGAGCCCTTGCAGTGAAGGAGTCTACTTTTTCGTGATTCTGTTCCCCAGGGTACATCTCACTTCTTAGAGCGCTGACAGAGGTCAGATGCAGCTGGAAGGCCTGGAACCAGATCTGGTCGCCTACACCTCCGTCGCGACCCAAGTGTGGCCCCTAGGCTGGGAATGCGACACTTCTCAGCTTGTTTTCGAGGCCTTGGATGCTCTGGCCGATGCTTCGCAGTGGCAGCGGGCTCTCTGTGTCCTTCGGGAGATCGAGCAAGGCCCGCGGTCACGGGGCAACACCGTCCTTTCCGTTGTGTCTTCATGTTTGATATCTGATATGCCCTTCGGTCTCATGATTCGAGCCGCAAGGCAATCTGCGTCCCAACAACGCGGCTTTTGCTGCGGTTGAGAGGGCCTGTGCTGCTGCAGACAGAGCCCGACCCGTGACGCAGCAGCAGAGAGGTCTCAGGCATGCTAAGAGGACACGAGGCGAGGTGATGAGGCCAAGCGGGGATGAACGACTTACGGATTGTACTTCCAACCAGCGGGTCCATGCGCGGTATCTATGTAGATGCCCTGGGCACCTCTTCTGGAGAAGTCTGCCACCGTGCATAGTCGAGTTCATGGAGGAGTTAGATTTCGGCTAAAGATTCGGATGATCCGAGGTGCGGTGCTTGATGGACCTCATGCTTGCTTTTGCCACTGTCGCCCTGCGCCAAAGCTTTCGTGGCGAATGGTCCGTGGAGAAGGGGAAAAAAGCAGCACAAGGGAGCTGAATTCGATTGTCTGCTGCAGGGGGTCCTGGGTCGTCGAAGATAGATTTGCTGCTTAAGCAAGCCTTCAGCTCAAGCCATCTCAACCATGTACGCCGGAGGTTGAGGTCCAATTGCAGCAGAAGCCTCGCAGATCCTTTCTGCTTGCTGGTTTCACCTTGCGCAATGCCGTAACCCGACCAGACTGGCTCACGCTGCCGCCAAAAGGTCCTCAACCCTAAAGCCTAAACCCTAAACGTTAAACCCCTAAACCCTAAACTGATTTCCCTAATCCCCGGCCCTGATCGCATCGGAACCAATCAACACTGCGATAAACCAAAGATGGGAGCGGCCCCTTGGAGGCTATCGAAGTGGTAAGCCAGAATGGCAACGAGCAGCACATCCTCTTGATCCTCGCCGATGGCGCCTCTCGGCCAAGAGACTCCAGGAGACTCGAGATATGGGCTTTTACCTAAGATTTCGGCGACTCCGCAACGCCAGGCAGTCACTGACGATGCCTGCTGTGAAGCGACACGACAAGCGCTTGTGTTGGCCAGCGACTATCCACTCTCCATCGTGGGTGCCTCAGTGCCTGGGCGGCTCAGAGCCTTGGGGCTCAGGGTCAGGGCCTCAACGGCAGGTCATGATCGGCGTGGGTGATGGCCCTTGGGACGTCATGAAGGACGGCCTGCAGCCACATGAAGTGTTCTGCTCCTGTCTGTGGCCTATGGAGTGGTCCATTGAAACATCTTCCTAAGCTTGGAAGTGTTGCCGCACGTGCACAGGAGTTCGACGATGCCCTCCCCAGCAGGCAGTTCGACAATTTCCAGTGCCTCGACGCAGTAGACACACAGAGTCAATCAGAGACGAGAAGGAAGGCTAATGCGATTTGTCTCCTGAGCCTGAACTGAAGAAGCACTGACTTGGCACATGCATTGATGTCGGCCCAGGTTCGTTCCCTTCGTCACTTCGGCTGCATCCAGGGCTGTCTAGATCTTCCTAGATTGAACTTCGCTTGTTCTTGCTAGTACTGGGCCCAAGACACCGACAGCGCCCAGCTCCAACGTGAAGATGCCTCGAAACTGCGAACCTTCGGCTCGAATTCCTTGTTGCTTGTGGCCCGTGGAGCACATTCGAGCACCTGCTAATTTCTGTCACCACATCTTTCGGCGGCATTGCCGATCTCTGTTTTAGCGTGATCACTCGAAAAGCATGTTGTTTAACAGTCAGTAAACGACGTCAGAACCGCTCTGATAGCATTGTTCTTATTCTCTTCACGTCACTAGTATCGCCTACTGTCTCTCGCCATCTGAATCGTGCATTTATTCTCAAGCTGAGGCGAAGTTCCAAGCTCTGCTGGAGACTGGCCGCCCTCGGCAGTGTCGTTTAGCCGAGGCCATCAGTGGCTCATTTTGAGTTCGTGATTTCGACTAAGAGTTTTGCAATCGTCTGTAGTATTCTTCTCTCCAGTATGTGGTTTTAGGAGTCTCTGCGGAAGTCCTTGGTGTGCCGGCTTGATTTTATGTGCTTCGGCAACGTGGACTGCGACATGCCCCTGCATAGCTTCGTTTCGGCAAATATGTATGGACACCCCCCAAACAATATGTGACCGGTTTCCTGAGTGTACCCTGTTACAGGTGTCCCTAAACCCTACACGGCCCTACACCCCAAACTCTAAACCCTAAACAATGAGCCGTGCCATGGCAGGCTGCATTCGCGCTGTGTGCCCTGCAGGACTGACGACTTTGTTTGGAGGTTTCAAGTGTCTCGCCTGCCATGCGCCCCTGCATGGAAAAACGCGAGCGGAGAGTTGGGCAATCGAAGAAGCTTCGCGAGAGGAAGTGCCAGCGCAGCGCGCCGCCATGAGGCAGTTGGGTCTTTTCCAGGCCGGCGGTCCGATGGAGCACGCCTGGATTTGATAGGTGCTCTCCGCTCTCAGTCACTCTCCCTTTGTTCTGAGAGGTACTGGTACTTTGTCGAAGGTTGTTTCTACCCTACCTACAGACCTTACAGTACTAGCGGTGCCACTGTTCGGTTCTTTACGCTCGCATTCCAGGCACGTGAACCGCCTGCCAAGCGGCCACGGCTGTCCCGGTGAGGAACCGCAAAGTGAGCCCGGACAATCTGAGGCCAAGACGTTTCAAGCCAAAGGCCACGAGAACGAGAGACCGTGGGGCTCTAGAATTCACATGGAGCCTCGGAGCCATGGTGCTCTTCCCGCTTTCGGTTGCAGCTGTGGGGTGCCCCTGTGCCCCTCCGCATACGCCATTGCCTGGACCATGGCAAATTCTACGACAACATCATTTTTGAACCAAATCCAGCCCGAAAGCTGGTTGAGCCGAAGTAGCAGAGTTTGCTGCAACCTGAGGCAGGTTTCGCTCTTTCATTGCCCACTGTACAGTCGCGTGCAGCACAGGTGGCAAGCTACGAGAGCCGATGAGAAAAGCTTGGTGCCATGTCTCTAGGTTTGGGGGCCTGTTCCTTGCAGAGACTTATCGCTGTGGGAAGGATGTGTACTTCCGGCTGGCGGGTGCATTCGTACCTGCGAGAATGCAGCATTCTCCCGTTTCCAGGAGCTCGTAGAAGCACCGAAGTGCGCCAGCCAAGTTTTGCTGGGAATGGGGAGCAGCTTTGGGGCCTCCGGCCTCCGATTGGGCCTGTTTAGAAGGGTACCTCAGAAGTGATATGAAGTGCCAGCTTCATGACGGATAACCCTGAATCTTGGCTTGGCAGCCCGCCTCGAGTCGCTCGTAGGCTTCTGCATGCTGGCATGGGGCGGGGAGTTCTGCGAAGCTCCCAGATCCTCCTTCGTTGCTAGCCCTCTTAGCATATTCCCTTGCGACATGCCGCGTTTGAAGCCCCTCTCCCTGTTGAGCAGCCCCGGCCCGAACAATCGGGTTTGACAAGCTTTCGCCAGGTCCCATCGGCCACCTCCCAAGACATGGCAAAGAGGGGAGAGCAGTGTGGTTGGTGCTCGGATTACGGGGAGCTTTCATACGTGGCATAGACAGGCGGTGCGAGTGCTTTCGATTGAAGTCTGCCACGGCAAAAGCACCCAGTTCAGGCATAGCTTCCAGCAACATGCTCGCAAAGCTTTGCTTCCCAGGTGCATCTGGCGAGATGAGCTGGATGTCAGGGATGCCTGGCCGCACTTCCAAAACACCAAACTCGTCGACCCTTCGTTGCCTTGTAAACTCAAAACCCTAGACCCGAAAGGGGCTGCACTCAAGGTTTAAGTTAGGAGTGCAGACAGTGGACTCTGTGTGCGCACGGGAACGTTTTGTTTGTTTTTCGTTCAGTTGCCTCTGTCTCGGTTTGCAGGGTTTGGGGCTGGGTGGGTCTAGGTACTACGTACTTGCGCGTGCTTCGGTAAGCCTGTCTGAGGTGAAGCCCGGTGAGTGATCTAGATTGAGGACTGAGGGCCCTATTTTCATCCCAGATTGGTCCGAACGTTGGCCTGTCAGTCCTCATGCCAGGCTCTGCTTACCAGGTATTTGAACTGTTGCACGGTGGAAAAGGGCCCGCAACAAAAAACAAACAAGCGGCCGTTTAGGAAAGCCAGTTGGAGAAGATCACGGCGCAGCTGGAGCGCACCGACAGCGCGCTGAGAAGCGCCCAGGCCGAGCCCTCTCTCCGCCTCTCCAGGATTCTCTCAAAGAGAGTTGGGGTGAAGAACAACAGCTGCTTTGCTGACAGAGCTTCTTGATGCTTCCAGCTCTGGGGGTTGAAGGTCGGGCATCTTATGCGCTTTCAAGCGCAATAGGTATATGCGCAAGGCAGAGGCCTTGGGTTCAGGCCCGCAGTGCTGGCGCTGCTTTGCCTTGTCAAGGTGGCCTTGGCCACGCAGCGGGCGAAACATCAGGCTGAAGGGCTGACGCAGAAAGTGGAAGTAGCGGGTGCAAACACCGAAGTATTTCAGGATTTCACTCCCCGACACGGGCCAAACACGCTTCAGGGAGAGTTGCAGCGGCAATGGAGTTGTGCGCTTGGAGGAGATGAAGACCCGCCACGGCGATGCGGAGTCCAAGCTTCGCGAGGCCCAGGGAAGTGACAGAGAGGTTTGTCAGCTCTGAAAGCACTTCGGAGTCTTCCGCGGTGCTCGGAGGTGTTTGGGTCGCGTGCCTTCGACTGCGGCCGGCCCATTGGCTCAAAGCCTCTCGCGCAAACCTTGCAGGTTGCCTCAAAGAAGCCTGGAAAGTCAGACATCGCTTCCACGGACACAGCCTTCCATTAAAGCCTTTCGAACAACTCGGGCAGCTATGCTCCACGCTGGGAGCTTCCAGGTGCGGTCGTATGGCAATCGAGCATGTCTTCCTTTCCCGCGAATCTGAAATTGCACGACCTCGAACCCGAGGATGTTCAATTGCTTACTCTCTGAAGCAGAACTCCATCAAGCCAGGTGCCTTTCCCAAAGCCTGCGGGTCAAGCTTCTCTGGCCACACGCAGAACTTTGTTCAGAGTTTTCCACAGTCCTGGCTGCATTGGAGGCCGATGCGCCCGGTGCCGGTGTCGCTCCGGCTGCCCCTGTCCGTGGCTTGCAGAAAACTGGAGCAGTAGGCAGTACGCAGAGTCATAGATCCTAATTGGGGCTATCCTACTCATGACCCTACTGCTTAACCGCTTTCTGTGTCCCCCGACCCTTCAAGTTGTAATACTCAGGGATTTTCACATGAGCACTCAGACTCTGGAAGTTGCAACTGACATAGACTTCGGTCTTGTCGGCCTTGAGCTTCGCGAGCGTCCACAGTCAAAGGCGCAGCTTCGGAGCTGCAGCGACCGGGCTGCTGTCGGGGACCCATCGCTGGCTGCCAGGAGCCTGCAGGCCGTGCAAGCCTTGCATGGGTCAATCGTGGTCCATCGTGGAACATGAGAAACCTGACGAGAGCTTCGCAAGGCCCTCGCTCGACGACGCAGCCCGAGACCAGACGAAACTACGGGGGAAGCTTATGCAGTCGGAGCAGATTCTTACGGGATTCAGGGCTAGCCGACAGCTAGCAGCTAGCCTATCCAAGGTAGTTTTCAGGCAAGCATGTCGCAGGCTGTCAAACTCCTGGATCGAGATTCTTGCAGTTGCAAGGAATTTCGGTGCCTGGCGCGCGCACCTCGAGCGAGCCAAGAGTGTAGCCTCTTGCACGCAACGGTGGACTTCATAATCGGAGAGAGCAAGGATGGTGAAGGTTGCTCTGTGTCGTAAAGATAAGAGTCTCAGGTTCGCCACGCGGATGCCGAAGGCGCAGCACGCGTGCTGAATGCGTGCTCGAGGCTCGCATTCCCCCGGTCTTGCGGCATGCTGGATAGGAGTAAGTCCTGAGCGCACGACGTTTTGGGTTCAACAAACTTAACCACCTAGCTCCTCACAGCTATGCAGCCAGACGCGTTGGTTTGCAAAGGTCGCCTCTCCCAGATGAGACCGCGGTGGAGGCACATGCTTCTCCCATTCGGCTTTCGCAATCTTGTCGTGGCTTGTGGCACTTGCTCTAAACCTCTCCCTGTTTTGTGGCTCAGCTCTTGCATCGGAGGTGGCGCGACTCTATGTGGAACGCGCAACCAAGCTGCTTCCACAAAGTGGCAGGGACCAAACTTGGAAGCTAGGGGTTAGGGTCTCTTCGAAAGTTTTCAAGTGTCTGCTGATGCTAATGACAAACAAAGCTCATGGAGTCTCGCCCATGTATTACAAGACATCGGGCGGAAATGGCAATGGGATAATGTGTAAGCTCGGCTGCTCTATGTGTTTCGGCCCAGAGGTACGTTTACGTCTTTTTGTATTGTGTCGTTTCGGTCCAGGAATCCGACATTCCTTGGTTGCTCACTTCTATTTGGGCTCCAAGGCAACACGCGGCATATGGCCACGGTGGTGAACGCCATGGCGAGGAGCTTTCAAAAGAGCACTGCAACCCATGTTTTGTTTTATTCCTTTCGGTATTAATCTCTGGGGTCGTCGTTAAAGTGACCTCTGCTTTCTGTGGGTGTGCGTCGGTTCGGAGAAGGTGCCTCGTCCAGCACGATCTTTTGCATTGGAGAGTCTCCTCTAGCGAAGGCAAATCTTGCCACGCGTTGCACCGGAGGATGCTTCTCCGTGATGAAGATTTCATCTCGAAGCTAAGCTGAAGCCAGCATCGTACTTTCAGCAACTTTGGCTCCCGTCCATGTTGTGTCGATTCCTTCAGGGGTGTTTCGACTTGCCTAAGAAGCGTCTCACGCCGTCCCCAAAAACTAGTAAGTGGTAGTTGGCTTACTGTTTTAACCTTTTTCTTTTAGGGCCTCCCTGCGAAAAAATTCAGTTTTTAATCATATTGACCCACCGGGACCGAAAATGTGATAACAAACTGTTTGAGTTTCAACCTTATCTTGTTGCCTCCCCCGGCACCGAGAAGGGTGATAACAAACAGTTTGAGTTTCCACCGGCCCGAGCCGTTTAAACGCCGAAATCTGTTAAAGTTAACCGTCCGGCGGCCGATCAAAGCCGAAATCTGTTAAAGTTAACCGTCCGGCGGCCGATCAAAGCCGCCCGGTGGCCGATCAAAGCCGAAATCGGTCAAATTAATCGCCCGCAAAGTAAGGTGCAAAGCTCCTCTGATGAGGTGTAAAATGCTGAGCTTTTGAGCCAGGCAAACGCAAGGACCGGATATAGCCTAGGCCAACAAGGACTCGATTTTCATATCGAGCACTTTCGGGGACCATTCGAGCAGGTCGATTTGCACTGTTTACTGCATCCGCAATTTTTTTTACAATTCTTTTGCTGTACAGACTTCGCCTCCGAAGCCCTGAACAAATTCCGGTGACACTGTATTGCAGAGCAACCTGCGGTCATCTACTTGCCTTTTCTTTGCTGGGGGGAGGGTGATTTTTTTGCAAAATTTTCCGGTGGTCGTGTTTAAATGGTGAGTGGTGAGAATGGAGAGAGAGGCGCACCGGAAATTTTATGAAAGCGTCCCCCCTTTGTAATAACCTCCTTCTGTCTTGTCCCTGTAATCCACGCGCTCGTTGCATTTAGGTCGAAGTGAGAGCGATAGAGAGACATAAGGTGGAAATGCACCATGTGCCCACCTATTCGTTGTAGCCTGGTTGAAATGAAAGACATGCACCATGTGTTTTGACCTTATCATTAAAGGTTTGTTTCAGTGAGAGCGAGAAATCAGGTTGTAAATATACCATGATTTCCTCCTCGTCGTTGCAGTCTCTTTGCAGCGAAAGCGAGGGTTAGGAGCAGTCAAAGTGAGAGATAAGGTTGGGAATGCACCATTCGTAATCACCTAAGGGTTAATCGGGGTTTGGGTACGGGGCTCTAAGGTTTACAGTTCAAATTAGAAGCCGCTCAAGGCCTGCCTCACCGAAGCCGACAGGGATTGGGACAGTTACGTTGCCGGCGTGCTTGTGGATCGCACCTGGGGGGATCACATTACCCTTCAGGCTTTGTGCGACCACCTGCAGGTCGGAATCCGCGTTTTCGCCGTTTACGTAGATTCAGAACACAAAGACTTCTGCTTGGACCAGCAAGTGGCTGTCCCATGGAACAACGAGACGCCGGACAAGGTGCTCGAGGTGTGCAATATCCAAGCCCTCAGGCTCATTTTGCAGATAAGGCGGGGTTTTTGCCTTATCGTCTAGGATAAGATTGAAAATGGTTGCATTGTGAAGCTATTTTTAAGGTAGGATAAGTTTCGTACTGGGGTTCAGCAAGGGCTGGCACTACGATGCTGTCCTGCCGGGAGCATCGCCAGAAAGTCCCCGGCAGAAAGCCTGCGCCGGACCACTTTGCAAAAACGAAATACGCCCTGGACGAGGGCAGAATGGCGCCAAGTGCAAAGGACAGATTCTACGACGTGGCCACGAGTGCTGGAGGCTCGCCTCGCAAAAAAGTCTGCTCCGCCAAGACCGCCGGTATCCACTTGCAGACTCTGAAGATGCAATCCGGTTGCAAAAGTTGATCTTAAGGTTTTAGTCTCGTCCTTTTATTGACCTGACTTGTTGGCCTGGGTTCATTGTCGACCTGATTCTACAGCGAGGCACCTTGGGTGGCTCGTGAGAAATGGGCACTGACGTGCCAGAAGGGGAAGCCGCCATCCAGCCAGAGCCTGCGCTCGTCAGCACAGATATGCTGAATGCCGATTATGAGCATTTGGAAACAGGGGCAACCATCCGGAAGACCCCGTACACAGTCGGGTCCACAGAGCTGACCACGCGCTCTTTCGTGGTGTTGCCAGCTGCTGGTTCCAAGACTTCCCAGTCTTAACCTTATCCTCGCAATTTCCCTCCTTAACCTTATCTTTGTCGTTGTTCCTTCAGCACACTACACAGGCAGCCGGAAACGCCAGAAGGCAAAGCTCAATCGGCACCTGGAGTACCTCCGCTCTTTGGGCAAAACAGCTGCAGAGAAACCGGCCATTCTGGGCCTCGGACTCCCGTTGCCAACGGATCCGGGGCAGTTTCAGAACCTGTTGGCTCACTGCCGAGCAAATCGGCAGCACCACCATCAGGGAGTTTGAGAACAAGATGTCCCGGCTCAACAAGAAGATCATGAAGCTTCCGGAGGACACCCCTTCGGAGAACCGCCGCTACATGCAGATGACTAACTTTGCCAACGTGCAGGTGGCAACTGGCAATACTGCGGAGGGTCCAGCACTTGATCCGCCTGCAAGGGCAAGCCTTCAGGAGCGGCCGCCTTTCCTAGCCATATCCTACAACGACTTCTGCAAAGGCATTGCTAAACTGACTGGAAACTCAAGAAGGGTGCTCGTACGGTCCGCAGCAGAAGCACGCTTCATCAATGACCCGGAGACCGCACCGCTCCCCCCCACCAGGATAGGGTTTTGGACCTCGCTACAAGAAATAGGCCTAGGTACAGTGAGCATTTCTAAGGGTTTTCCACTTCAGTTATCGTTTGCAGGTCCGCTCGCTTCAGAGCTTCGTTGAGCACAGCCCCCGACACCTCAATGAGAAAAGCAGGAAGCCGGAGAGCCATAAAAAAGAGCGACCGCGATTGGGCTGCTGGGGAACCCGCAGTATATGAATAGGTAAAGCGTCATGGGCCTACCTCCCGGGTGGTGTGGAAACAGCTCTGCCCATTATGCCTGATTCATAATATTCATAATCATTGAGCGTCCAACAGAACAGAAGCCAGAGAGGAGAGAGATTAACAGCAGATTGAGAGAGGAGACTACAGAGGCGATTCGGCGGGTCCCAGACAGGATTATTTGCAGGTCCCAGGCTCCACCTCATTAACAACATTTGCACCGTATCAGCGCAAATTTTCGCCTTACCTCAAGACTTTTTGCATCTTATTATGGCCCATTTGCACTTTATCGTTTGACATTATCACCTTATTTGAAGAAGTCTCGCATCTGAGACAGGAGATTTTGCAGCTCCCAGCGAGAAGATTTTACAGCTCCCAGACCGGAGATTTTGCAGCTTTCCAACAAGAAATTCCTTTTACAGCCCAAGCAGCAAATTCCGACTCTACCAAAGAGAAGAAGGTTGCCCAGCTTGAGCTTGTCGTGGTTGCTTTGTGCACTTCATTCGAGAATATCTGCACTTATTTTGAGGTTCAAAAGCAGACTTGCAACCTGGCTGTTTTCTGCACCTTTTTCGAGAATTTCTGCACCTATTTTGACGACGACTGAGTAAGATTGTGTGAAAAGGCAATGGATGAGGTGATAAACAAGCAAAAGCAGGAACACGAAGCAAGATAAGGTGAAAATTGGAATGGTTCACGAGTACTACTACTACTACTACTACTATTACTACTACTATTACTACTACTACTACTACTACTACTACTACTACTACTACTACTACTACTACTACTACTACTACTGCTGCTGCTATTATGTACTTGCTACTTCTACTGCTACTGCTTCTGCTCCTGCTCCCCCTTCTGCTTCTGCTTCTACTTCGACTTCGACGTCGCCGTCAACGTCGACCTTGACTTCGACTACGGCTCCGGGTACGGCTACGTCTACGACTAGTACTACTTGTACGACGACGACTATTATTACTTCTGCTACTACTCAAACTGTGAGCAGCAGCAACAGCATCAACAGCAGTAACAGTGGCAGGTTTGGAACCATTCGCCATTAAAACTTCGACGTGGGCAGCGAGATTGCTACCAGTGCAATGTTGAATGATGGTAAGTACTTGCGACCGACGATAAGGAAGCTCCGCTATTCTTCCATTCACTGTTGTCAGTGATGTGCTATTCACTCTTGTTTTGGCCGAGGAAACTCTCGCGCGAGCTCCGCCTGAAATTTCCGCCCCTTGATCTGCACAGCTGAGTCGCGACTGTCAGGGGTTGCAGTCGTAGGCAGTGTTCAAGGAGGAAACTGGTCAGACATGTGAGGGTTGAGTCTAGGCGTGCACAGGCGTCGTGTATGGGATTTGCGAGAGCAACATGGCCGCTTCTGTTGTGGGGAAGCAGTGCTGGTAAGGCTTGCCACCAATGGGGTTAGCTTAATACTGTAATGTGGTAGTCTTGCTTCCGTAGTTTCCTGCATGACTGGAAAGCCCTTAAATCCCTACACTTCTGAATTCTTCGGCCCTAAGCCCTAGCCTAGGCCCTAGCCCTAAACTAGCTAAGCCTTCCTGGAGCCTGCAAGCAAGGAAGTGCAACAGCTTCCAGGCTTCCTTGATTGCGAACTCCTACGTCCGCCTCATGGTGGTGGAGCGGAGCTTTGCTAGAGCTTGTTACGAGTTTTCTCGCTTTTCACTTGAAGTTAAGCTTGCAACACCATAGTTTCAAGCAGTTCACTCACAACATAATATCCCTGAGCCCCAAAGCCTACCCTCGGGCAACATGGCTTTCTGACCAAGAGGCAACGGGCGTAAGGAAGAGACGCGAGAACACTCTAAACCCTAAGAAGCATTGCTATAATCATTTTTCATCGCCTTGCAAAGCAAAGGACGCTCTTTGGCCAGCTCCTTCCTGCCTACGCCGCGGCCCACGGGTCGCGCTTCCGTGTCAAGGCACGAGGGTTTAGGGTTTTTGCTGAAAGTGTGGAACACCGTGCTTCAGGTCAAAGTTTAGATTTAGCCTTTTGGGGCTGTGGGAATTTACGGGTCCTTGTAAGGATTGCACAGGGATGGAGGCAAGTGGAGAAGCTTCAGTCGCTGCGCCAGGACCTGTCTTTGGTGCTCAATGCCTACGCCAAGGTGGCTCGGCCACATCGACCGCAGCTCTCCGGGGGCTAATTGTAATTTCAGTGTTCTGGGGCGGAGGGAATGGCAAGAAGTGCTACCGGGGCCCATGTCCAAATCCTCCATGCGTCTCAAGCATAGGCTCAGCTGCGAAGCACCGCCGTGTTCGCTGCTAAGCTGCAATGTCGAATCTCTAGCGGGCGGGTGTTTCTGCAGCGGACGGCCTTTTCAAACAAGCAGTGAGCTGCATGGAAAATAATAAAAAATTGGCCTTGCGGTAAGTCAGCCTGAGCACCCGTTGTCCCAGCATGCCCTTGAACCTAATGGAAGCATGGCTTTCTGGTCCAGGAGGCACTGGCCCAGCGCTGCCGTGAACAGGCCAAGCACATGGATTGCCAGGCCGCCTGGGTCTTCTGAGGCCGCGAGTAGGCAGCTAGGCAGGTCGTTGGAGACGAAGGTGCGAAGACGAGCACTTACGGCTTGTTGTGAGGCTTGTTATCCAAGTTTGCGGGACCCATCCCTGTTCCGACTAGGACTACGACTGCGACGGCTGCTGGTGCTGCTGCTGCTCCTGCTGCTGCTACGACTACTACTACTACTACTACTACTACTACTACTACTACTACTACTACTGCTCCTGCTGCTGCTGCGACTTCTACGACTACGACTACTACTACTGCTGCTACTACTACTACTACTACTACTACTTCTACTACCACTCTACTACTGGTACTACCACTACTACTAGTACTGCCCCCGCTGCCACGACCACGACGACGAGGACTACTACGAGTACTACCAGTACTACTACGATCAGTATAGTACTCCTGCTGCTGCTGCTGCTGCTACGACCACGACGATGACTACTACTACTACTACTACTACTACTACTACTACTACTACTACTACTACTACTACTACTACTTTTACTACTACTACTACTACTACTACTACTACTACTACTACTACTACTACTACTACTACTACCACCCACCATCAACGCAATTGCCCTTGCTACTGCCACCGCCACAGCGACTGCTTCTACTTCTGGACTGCCACTGCTACTGCTGCCGCCTCGGCTACTTCTACGACAATGACGACGACGAGCAGTACCACCACAAGTAGCACTGCCACCGCCTCTACCACTATCGTTGGTACAATGACTCCTGCAATTGTCATTGTTCAATTATGTTCGAGTTCACTTCAGTTTTTCTCGCTCTAGTTCCTGCCTTCACTATGTTTGGGGACGTGACAGTGATCACATCTGATCTTCGCTGGGGCATTGCTCATTTGTTTGTAGTGCGAGTATTCCCCTGCACTTCTTGTTGAACGACTTTCGTTGCTATCGTACATCGAAGGCGATGAGCGTCGTCGCAGCAGCACATGCAAAGCTGCTGATTGTTGACGAGCCTCTCTTCCAGGCCCCGGTCTCTTTGAGATTTTGTGCCTTCATCCAGCTGCTGGACGGTGCATTCGATGGCATGGCTATTGCAAGCATGTTCGAGCTGCGCTTTGCGTCTTTTCATCGCTTGCATGGGAACCAACGCACGGCAGTGCATGACAGTATAATATGAAAGAATATGAAAGGAACAAAGTACAGTAAGTACAGACGAGTTTGAACAGACGACGACTCGATGGAGCTTGTGAGTAATCGTGAATACTGAAGCAGCTGCAGCCTGATGTTTGAAAAAAACCAGCAATGAAGAGGACATATTTTTGTAGACTAGTGAGGTAACCGTGCAAAATGCAAGATGTAGCAGCCCACGATTACATCTGACGCTATAACCGTTGTCTCATACAATCATAGGGGCCATTGAAAAGTGTCTTTTGTCCCCGGCCACTCTGTTCTCTCGGATCCAGACCCTGGCCTGGCGCTTGCGCAGCTGCGCGCGAACCTGTACGTTTCAGGCTTTGGGGAGCAGCGGGAATGGGGAGGCATCTCAGAAAAGAGGATGTTTGGTGGGGTGTCTGGAAACATGCGAAGCCATTCGCCCTCGAATCAGCATTTGACCGGCATCGTTCTGCGAGATGAGCTGCATCCGTCCAGAGTCACAGCCACCAGTTCAGTCCAAGAGTTTCATCTCGCAGGCGGCGGCAAATCTAGCCCACGCCTTCGCCAAGTTCGGCTTCACGAGCCCTGCAGTGCCACAGGATGCCGCGAACCAGGTGCAAGCGGGGCTTGGGCCTCTGTTGCTTGGAGCTGTCATGTGTCAGATTGGTTTTGGGAAGGGGCTTCTGTGACAGTTTCCAGAGTGTCGCAGCTGCGAAGCCAGGCCAGCAGATGACAAAAAAGAAAGCATCAAACGGCAGCAAAAGCATCAAACGGCAGCACACTTCGCTTCGATGCTTGTGAGCTTTGAGTTCGTGAGCCGACACCCGCTCAAGTCCTGGAGTGCTCAGACTCAGAACCTTTGTAGCCTTGGGGGGGCGAGCTCCAGGGTTGTTGCAGTGCCCTGCAGGCGGAAAGGAGCCGAGTCGAGGGATCCGTGCCCGCGACAGACGTGGTCTTTGACGCTGTCGCCGAAGAGCTGCCGAGGTTCCTCGTGCCCTGGGTGCTACAGCAGGGGGAGGTAAAAGCACCGAGTGGTAGGCACTTCGCTCTCTGGGACCGGGAAGGCTCCTGGCCGACACGCCCAGCGCACACAGCACGGTGCTGCTATGCCACGCCGTGGCCCGGGCAGGCGAGGGTGCAGTCAGGCTTAGTGGGAGCATCATTGCCGTCCTCACAGCATCGCATTATGCTATGTAAGGCGTGTTCTTAAGATAACAAGATGACGCCGGCTTTCAATGAAGACGTGTCCCCAAATGACCTCAATGCGGGGCAACTGTTGAGTGGCAACTGCAAACCTGAGCAGCTTTCATCTTGAGGCCAGCACCGGCGGCGGCCGGCGCTGCCTGCAGCACTGGCAGCCGCTGTGGCCGAGCTACCCGCAGAGGAGCTGCAGCCGCTCGACCCTAGAAGTCGAGGGGGTTACTCTCCGACCGCTTCAGAAGTTTGTTTGGGGCTTCAATGTTGCGGGGAAGCTCAGGGCTCGAGGCCCTCGAGCCAGGATGCTGGAACCACCGCAGACGGGCAGCAAAAGCTTCAGTTTGAGCGGAATGTCCAGGCAGGGGTCACGTTGCAAGGCTATGCTCGGAAACGAGAGCCGCAGTCTCTTCAAGGCAGTGACAAGGGGATCAGACTTCTGTCGTCATACGGCAGAAGACGAAAGAACAGGAGCAACAAAAAGCTGAAGACAGTGAGAGCCAGGACAGGCGGCCTTTGAAGCCCGATACAGACAAAGCAGCAGCAACAGTTTTCGTAGTTCGGTTGAATTTTGCAGATGCTGGAAAGCTAAAGGTGTGTGCAGGAGGCTGCCACTCGAATCAGAGAGGGGGGGGGGGCCTGCAGCTCTCGATGCGGAAGCGACAGACCTGAGGCTTGGGATGTTGGCCGTGGCATTTGCAGAGCTCTGGCCCAAGAATGCCGGCAGCGAGACAGAGGGCCAGGCGGGTCGATGCGAGCAGCGGCTTGGGAGTCGGCACAGCAGATCAGGTTGATCGATGGCAATGCAACGGCCTGTGGCGCGTTCTCCTGATTGTGGGTGATGGTGACGCCAGTGATTGCTAGTGGTTGTGGATGTGGCCAAACCAGTGGCGACATGGTCAGCTCTGTAGCTGCCGCTGCTTTGCTTCAAGTTTCATTCACCGCTGCTCTAGCTGGCTTCCTGCTTCAGTGTTGCCTCTGCTTGTCTGCCTGTCTGTTTGTCGAAAGCTGGACCCAGCTTCGTGAAGACCCCAATCCTCGTAGCTTATTCTGGGCCCGGAGTCCTCGAGGGCAGTTAAGCCTTGGAAGAATCCTCAAAGCAGCGACGCAGGCGGCTTTCTGGTCTGCTTTGTCGGGTGCAGCAGCGGATCGAACAGCACAGCTGACGCCCGGTGATGCAGTGCCCAGAGTGCAGCCGTGTTTCGTCTCAGGGTAGGTCCGGGCCTTCTGGTGGCTTCTCAAGCTCAGGTGGAGGTTGTTTCGTTCAAGCGTTTGTGGCGTCAGCCCCCTTGGTTTCAGGCCATCGTGTTGAAGGTTCTGAAAAACCCTGTGTAGGCACGCGGTGTCTATGCCGAGTAATCACAAGCATCACCTGTAGCCTCCGCAGATGTTGTCCGTGATCCTCAGTACTCAGTGCCACAGAGGCAAACTGCGCCGTGGCGTTTGCTGCTGCAGCATTGCCGCCAGCATCCATTTCAGCAATGCGGCTGGCAGAGCACTGCGAGGCCGGAGGCGTTGTACAGTCTATAGTACTCGTAGGAATGACTGCATTATTGCTATTATGATTTTTGTAAAGTATCCCCCATACTTCTACGGTAGGTTGCAGAGAGACTCAGTTTTTTCCCAGTGGCTCCTTCGTGTTGAGGGCCCTGCCATGGCATGAGCAGCCCGAGGAAGAGACGGGATTCCAAGTATCAAAGGGTCCAGGCATGACCACGGAAATCCTGCATCTGAACAAGCCTCCTTAAAATGAGACCTAAACCCCAAACCCCCAAAACCCCCGTAACCGCTAAAGCCCCAAACCTCTAAACGAAAGAGCCTAGTTGCCACCCCACACCTCGCGGGTTCCGATACACCCCAAACCCCCCTCTCTCCAGGGAGAGATTTCTCCTGCGGTGGCGTCGGCCCTGTTGGTGGCGCACGCTGTAGCAGGGGTCAGTGCCAGGTCTCTTCTACGCGCCACTCGGAACCAGGAGTTTTGAGCTTGAGTTCGTGTCTGAGGGGTAGGGGTTTGGGTGCAAGAAACCTGCATCAAGAACCGCGCCACTTGAAGGATCAGGCTTCCGGTATTGAACCTGTTTCCCAACTCCCTCGAAAGAGAAGCCTTCAGCCCTAGCCCTAACACCCAAGGCCCGTTGTTCTTCGGACCCGCTAGACCCGACGTATATGTGTATGTATGTGTATGTTTATCTTTGGTATACGCATACTGGTTGTCGTATGCCACTAGTACATGTGCGTGATAGCCGTGCATGTCATGCTTATGTGTACATGTGTGTGTGTGTAGATATATATATATATATATATAACTGTAGTACGCAAGCATGCATGAACACACAGATACAAGCACCAACCGACATTTAAACGCATGCATACAACATAAGATTTGGGCAAATCGTCTGCGTAGACATGACACTGTATACGTAAACAAAAAGGTTTAGAGGCGCGGTTTCATCTCGACCCCTCTGATGCAACATGTTTAAACGGTTCCTGAAACCTTAAACCCTCAGCCTTAAACTCTAAACCCTGAGCCTGAAACTCCAAAACTCTAAGCCCTAAGACCCTGCGAAGCCCTGCGAACTGGGTCACTTACTATGCATGCGGTTCATGATGTCCTGCGACGTGCCAACCTGCAGCGAGTGGTGGCTGCAGCTTTAAGCTGAAATCTAGCAATCTTATGTCAAACCTAGTTTATTGCCTCGCGCAGCACGAGTATTCATAAAAGCCGACATGACTGCTCCATGTAGACAAATTAAATCTGCATTCGCTGTTCGACCAGTGCCTTTCGTCCATACTACATACAAGCCATGCTCCGAAAAGGTCACCTAACAAGCTACTTGTTTCATACCTTCGAAACTCGGGCACATTTATCCGACCGTAAGAGGCTTGCACATCTCACAAGTGTGAGCAAGCCAGCTGCTCTACGTGCTAGTGCAGGAAAGGTCCATTGTTCTTCCTCTGTACACACTTTAAACCAAAGATTGTCCCTCCCCTAAGTTCATACGTGTGAATCACGACTCTGGAGTGTTGCTCGCTCAAGAACAAGAGCACGGAACTTTGAGCACATGAGTGGGAGTCGCATTCATGCATATGTCCGTCCATATATTGGCAGATGCCACGCCTGAAATTGCTCTGATCTGCAGTGATGGTAACTAAGGCGATCGAAGCGCGCTTTGACGAACTGCTTTGGCAAGCTACTGACAGCAACCGGACCGCAGCTGCTCCACACGCTTGAGTACACGCCGGAAGGGGAAGAACAATACCTGCAACATCCAGAAGTATTCCATGTGCACACATATGTATATATAAATACACATACACGTGTGTGTATATATATATATATATATACACACATATATATATATATGTATACATAGTACATATACAAACATACACATGTATTGTTTTGTGAAGTTCATGTACGCATACATATACATATATTTCTATTTCATGTATACTTATTTAAACATGTTTTGCATATATATATATGTATATATATATATATGTATATGAAGTATTATGAAGTGACCCCCTTGAAGACTCAGTCCGGCAATCTCTACGTCTGGCTTTGAGTTTTGGGGAGCTCGCCCACTCGATAGTTTCTGTTGCACATCGTAGTGTATCATGAGTGTCCAGAGTGTGCGAGCCTAAGGAGCAAGATTGCCCCGCCCCCACAAACCCACTATCACAGTGGTTGACGCGTAAAAGTCTCAAATCCAAATCCCACAACCCTAAACTCGAAATCCAGTACCCTCAAAGGTGTGGCCTGTCGGCTCGCACTGGCTTCCTGGCTTTGCGGCGGCCGCGTCGACCGGTAGCCTGGCGAGGGCAGTTTTTTTTTTGAGGGTTCCCAACGAGACAGAATCGAAGTCTGCCTAATTAGGTATTTGCGTATGCAATGTGTTGCGATGCGGTAGCTTGACGCACTTCGCAGCAGAAACCATCGCCTGCATGGGGGGTGTTCTCTTGCGAAGCTACCAAGCAAGGTACGAAACACCGCAATCGCAGCGAAATGGCTCACACCGCTGTCCGTGTAAGCAAGGGCTGTTGCCCTGTTTGAACATGTTGACAGACAGCAAGAGCAAGGTTCCTGCGACTTGAAGCTAGACCACAGTCCTGATGTTCTTCTTGTATTTAAGCAGTTAACGAAGGTCGTTGCGAAAGGCTGTGGCTGGCCATGTTCTGCGAACTTCGCGCCAGAGAGAGGCTGCGAAGGGCCTGGTGTGTAGGTTGGAAGCTACCCGCAACCTCTCGCTTGCGCTTGCGTCAGTGTGCGTCCAGCCAGGAAGACGCAGAGGAGGACTTGATGTTGCTTGCAACCTGTGCGGTGCTCAGACACCGCCCGGAGGTTCAAGCTGTCGGGCATTGGGTTCTGGTGATGCGAAGCATTGATCGTGGCAGCCCAGTTCCTCGAAGCTTTTGACGAGACGCGGGCTTCTGCTATTCCCATCCGCAATCGTCCACAGTCCAGCTAACTCAAGATTCCGGGTTCGTGTTGCTAGCTGGAGCCTCTTACTGTTCGGGGAACGTAGGTGATGTGCCAATCTGAGAGCAGCCTGACATCTCTTGATACTCCAGGCCTGACGTCATGTAGTCACCTAAACAATTGAACAGGCTTCTGGGAGCCTAGTATTAATATTACAATTATGATTATAGTCATCAATATTATTACCATTATTAATACTATTACGATTATCATTATAATTACTATTATTACTATTGTGACTTGTGAGCCTAGAGGGGGAAGGCCGCTTTTGCAAGTAGATCCAACTGCACCCCTTTCCGCCCTACAACGCAGCCATACGCTCTAAATGCTCTAAACATCTCGCAGCCCTACATCCCTAAACCCGAAATCAGAAACCCGAAAGCCTGCATCTTGCACCCTACACCGTAAAATGCTGAGCCCTACACCCTAAAACTTCCGCAACCCCTTGAGTCCAGAAGGTCAGGGTGCTGCGGCCGTCGCTGCTCCCGACCTTCGCCGAGCAGAGTCCTTGAGCCCCACGGCTGAAGTTGTTTCTGGGTTTGAGGGGTTTAAGGGGTTTAAAGGGTTGAAGCGTCTAAGGGGGTATAACGGGTCTAAGGGTTAGAGTTGAAAGGTTTCTGGTTTGACAGGCTGTCGTAAGCAGGGAAGGGCCCTGTTCTGTTTCGTTCCTGCAGATTGGTAATTTTGGCACTAAGGTGTTACACAAACAGAGGTCCTAAATGTAGGCACGGAGCATGAGCGAGAGAACTCTAAAGGCCTCTTAGTTCAGATCCAATTGCACCGCAGTTTCAGTTGCTCAGATTCCGATTTGCTTCGTTCTCGGAGTTTCTTGTCTCAGATCCGGGCCCTAAACCCTAAAGACTAAACCTTAAGACTTCCTTGGCATTCTGCTTCGCTCGGATCCTAAACATGCGCGCTCCGGAGCCTAGTCCAGAAGAGCCCCACGAAACACGGAGCAGCGTTTTGGCTCAGCATTCTGGGAGTGAGTCTACATATTGAGTCTACATATATATATATATACCCACATGCATATACATATACACAAACACATACATGTACACACGCACACACACATTATATGTATATATATATATATATATATGGTACCCCCCCCCCCCCCCCCGGTACCCAGGTTGTGTCCTGTTCAAGCCAGACACCTTGTCCCTAATATTTGTTTGTGTTCCTTGGTCATTGCGTCTCTGGGAAAGCACGTTTTCGTTTACTGTGGCTCCCTGGGCTTCTAAGTGTAGCGTCTACTGTATTGTTGCTCCCGAGCTTTCTCCAAATCGATGGAACGTGCTGGAAATGTTGGAAAAACCAACAATTTCCATGATCTGTCTGTGCGGAATCATGGAATTTGTTGGTTTTACCAACATTTCCAACAATTTCCATGATTCCCGAAACTATGGCGCGGGCTCCCGAGGTTTTTCCAAATTCATGGAAATTGTTGGAAATGTTGGTAAAACCAACAATTTCCATGATTTCTCTGAGGGGAATCATGGAAATTGTTGGTTTTGCCAACATTTCCAACAATTTCCATGATTCCCGAAACTATGGCGCGGGCTCCCGAGGTTTTTCCAAATTCATGGAAATTGTTGGAAATGTTGGTGAAACCAACAATTTCCATGATTTCTCTGAGGGGAATCATGGAAATTGTTGGTTTTACCAACATTTCCAACAATTTCCATGATTCCCGAAACTATGGCTCGGGCTCCCGAGGTTTTTCCAAATTCATGGAAATTGTTGGAAATGTTGGTAAAACCAACAATTTCCATGATTTCTCTGAGGGGAATCATGGAAATTGTTGGTTTTACCAACAACTTCCATTATTCCCGAAACTGCGGCTCCGGCTCCCGAAGTTTCTCCAGATCCATGGGAATGGTTGAACATGCTGGTTTCGCCAACATTGTCCACAGTACATATTTCAATAGGTTGTTACCGAAAGTTGTGATTGAGCAGATCTTACGTACTCGTGCGAGCCGTTTTGCAGACAAGCCGGTAAGGTATTTGCATCCTTGATTAAGCTCACTAGTTGGTCCAACACGAAGCTAAGTAATTCATAGTCTCCGCTTGAAGACACTACTGTGGGAACACCAGTTCATGGGTTTTCTGTTTATCACATACAAGGCTGTACTCCATGTCTAAGATTCAAAAACTTATTATAGGAAAGCTATTGCTGCACGACCAAACTTAGCTGGCTTAATCACCCACTTCTTAAGATAAATGTAGAAGGATCTACTTATGTTGCTTGGTGTTTGCATGGGGGTCTTTGGTAGTTGTGGTTGTGTATTCTTTTTTGGTGTGGCACAGGTGCTTACAAAAAACAAAGAGCCCGTAGTCAAAAGACTACCATGTGCACCAGAATTCTGACATACATCGTTCTCAATTTGTCATCATTTGGTAGGTGCAGACTTTCGAAAACGATTCTGCGACCAATAAAATGGATATTACCTGTATGATGCACGCACTTTTTGATGAACTGCACTCGGATTAAAAATCACCTGACGTGAAAAACTATAGTCGAACTAATTAACTACAACATACAACCTAGCGTGTAACACGCAGCCCCGGCGTGTTGGATCATGTCTGGTTTGGAAGACTAACAACCCACTCTCAGCAGGTAAAAAGCAAGCAAATGTGTGACTCGGTTAACCATCATCCTACCAAGAAGTGTTTTGAAGCACAAGTGTACGTATTCACGTGGTGCTCTCTGGTAGGTTTATACTCAACTTAGCAGAATGTATAGAACACAGGACTCAGCAGGTACTTCATTGACTTTATAATGCTTGGCTACTATAAAGCAAGGTTCCCGAACAATATACGAAGCAGTCTGAATGAACAATCAGAGCAGTAATTGACACAGTAGCACTTGATGCAGAAATCAAAAAAGCCGGGTGGTACATGGTCCTAAATGGCCTGGTATTGGTCAAGTATGATAACCACTGTAACAGGAATAATGGCAATTTACAAGGTGTGATAACAACACTGTGAGAGGTAATATTAAAAGCACACTTGACATTTTGAGCTCGATATAGAAGAACAGAACATGTAGCAGTTTTATGACTGGGAAAAGAAACGGAGATCGGATTCCTAAGGCAATGGAGACTATACTTGCAGTAACAATTGCGAAGCCTACACACACCGTCGTGAAGCACGATTTCATACTTTTGTCGCTATTGACTGCTAAATTGACAGACACGCATGAATCATTGTACAGTGCTGTGGAGACTAAAGGCTTTGACAAGTATACTGACACTATATGACACCGCTTTAGGCTTATTCCATATATGGCTGTATGAACCAATGAACACAGCAATTCATGTGAGAGACTGCAACACCCACCACAGCAATGACATTGTTGCGTGTGTAAAAAACCATAACGACAGCCAATTAAACATAGCCACTATCCACCTTGATCCGAAATCTGCGTGCATGGCCTTGGGGATGCTACAGTATCGCCTCTATGCCGTGCAAAACTCTTTCCATTGCTGGGTTTCAGTAGGCCTGCTTCGCCATACCCTGCAGTTTGTCACACTCGCTCACTACTAGTACTATATGTCGGCTTATCGCGAGCACGCGTGTGCACTTGCAGCCTTTTCTGTCCGACTTCCGTCGTGCTATCAGCACAAAGACGAAAACCTGGGTACCTGAGGGGGGGGGGGGGGGTAGCATATATATATATATATGTATATATATATATATATATATATATATATATATATATATATATATATGTATATGTATATGTATATATATATACACATATATATATATATATATATAGATACGTTTACCCATGTGAGTACATATATACTGTAGATATGTATATTTTCGCACGTATACATACATATGTATGTTTGTGTGTATATATATATGTATATATATATATATATATATGTGTGTGTGTGTGGGTGGGTGGGATGCCCGACCGATTTCGGAATTCACGAAGAATCTAGCTTGTTCCAGCTTTTCTAACTTTGCTTTGGCTTTCCGTTGCGTTTTTTTGTGCCTTCTGGGATTTCCCTAGCTTTTCTCAGTTCCGAGCAGCACATGGCCTAAGAAGTTTGAGCCGTAAACCCGCGGGCTGCGGTGGTTACTTTTTCCAAAACATGATAGTCACCGAAGCCGTAGACCTCAATCCCCAAAAGCACCTTCATCATCAAATCTTGAAAACTAGATCTAGGGCCTGTTGAGCAGTGGCAAGCAAGGCCAGAAAAATAGCTGTCTTTTGGGTAAGCTTTTCCCAGGTCGGGTTGTGTCGACTGCTCCGCGTCGTATGACTGCATGGTGAAGCTACTGACTCCTATGCTCCTGATAGGCTCCACAGCTGGATAATTTCCCTTTCTGCATCCCCGAGATGGCCCACGCAGAATATGGCCAGGGCCCTTTGCCGCAGTCCCTGTACCCCTGCACCTACTGCATCTCGATCACATGCTTCAACGAGCCATCGGTAAGCTAAGCCCGCGCTCGCGCTGAGGCTTTGCAGATGTGGAAGAAATCCATGGCAGGTCATGGGTGGAGGCCCGCTGCAATCGAAGGCCTCATTATGGTTCTGTGGCTTGAAAGGACACTTTTGAAGCCCTCGTGGTGGCCTGCGCTTGGCAAAGCTAGCAAACTGTCCACAGCATCAATAGCTGCGTTCAGGTTTCGCGGCAGCTGGAGCACAGCCTGGTCGTGCACCTGCATGACCGCCGTGATGAGGTCACGAGCAGTTTCGGAAGTTTTCCGTTGTCGCGACAGCATCAAGCCCTGACCCGCGAAGTTTCAGAAAGTACACCCAGACCAAAACGTCGATTGCCAGCACTTTTCCCTACTGGAGGCCCTTGCACAGGCCGTGCGTCGCCTGGCATCCCGCCTCGGGAGGAAGAGACCGAATCTTAGCCGTGACCCGGCCACAAACGGGTTCCAGGTTATTTCCCTGGTGTGCTGTTCTCTTCCTGAGCTGGTGCGGTTGGGAGTGGATGATGCCAAAGCTCAAATTCTTCCTGCTGTGCAGTGCGAAAGCGGAGGCATTCTGACACAGCTGGTGGAGGCCGGAGCCTTGCTGCATCCTACAGACGACTATTGTACCCTTGACCTGCCTCGCTTCCTTGCCAGCTCGCGCGATGAGGCAGCGCCGCCTCCATCGCCAGCTGCACCGCGTGAAAGCCTGCATCAGCCACCAAGGCCTCTGGGTTGTTTCCAACACTTCAGCGACATCAGGAGACTCCCCTTTTTGGAGGGTTTACCGCTCGCAGATGTGATCCTTAAGTCCTTATTCCTCTCCGGGTCCTGCTATTTGCCGGCTGGGCTCCGCCGAGCAGTCCAAAGAAGTTATGGATTAGATTTACCCTGTGAAAACGATCCTCTTGCAGGCGTGCTGGCCTGTCCTCATTACTGCTGCCCAGCGCGGGCGCACGGCTACCCGAGCCGGATGAGGACCACCCTGTCTGCAGTCTGGTCTCAAAGTTTTGAGGTTAGTTTTTTGGTGTTGCGTGTAATCCAAGATTGGTGCCAACAGCGTCAGATTTTCCTCCATCGTCTCTCCCCAGCAAGATACGTTCGTTTCTTGTCGAAGCTTGAAGACCACATTGCCGTCAGGAACAAGAAGATAGTGCTGCGGTCGAGGCTCAGCGCCTGGACCGAGCTCTGCGCAGGCTCCATTGCTTGCCCTTTCCACATTCATACAATGCCCGGCAGGCATTTGGTATCCCTAATCTCCAGGCTGCTCGCAAAATCAGCGTGCGCTACAGGCCATGTTGACCAGTATTCTCCGCACAGGTGCGGGTTGGTGCCAGCAGCTTGCCCCCTCGCCGATGCAGTGTGGAACCCAGTCCAGCTTGGGAGGCTGACTGTGCAGTTGTCCGTTTCCGTGGCTGGAAACAATCCGAAGCCCGAATCCTCCCAAACTCCAGCTTCGAGGCTTCGAGCGTTGCAAGTCTGGATATTCTGTCGGAAATGTGTTCAGAACCCGTGACAGGCTGCCATGTTCGACCTTGATGATGTGCAGGCCGGCATTTCAGGGCGCCCAAGGGACCAGCAGAGGGTCAGAGATCCTTGCAGAGTTGCTAAGAGGGGGTTGCCATCTCGAGGGTGTGATACCCTAGCAGTGCGCTAATGGCATCTCTTTCCCTGATCTCGATCCAATCCTGAAAGTAACGCTTCCTTCAGAGGTCCCGATGGCCTTCGTCTTGGACGATGCCCGCAGCTTCATGTACCCTGCGGACGGAGCCGAAGGCTGCCCCAAAGCCCAAATGTGAGGTCAAAAAATGTCAAGAACTCGATCCTGTAATCCCCTGCTCTGCTCGGCTTATTTTCCCAAGGAGGCTGTGATAAGAGAAGGGGGGGGGTTCTGGTGGGGGTTCTGATGTTTCATGCAATGTGAAGGGATTCGAACGATGCGCCCGCATCACGCTCGTCTTCTCCCCACGGTCCCATGCAGATTTTGGGCTGCCACTCGTGTTCCCGCCGCAGTGTGGTGCATGCTCTCCGGACGGCGTGGTGCGCAGTTTGGGCTCATGAGGTGTTCCTCAGGAATGATTCTCGCTACGTAGGGCTTGAATCATTGGTCTGTGTATGTGTGCTGTATGTGGGTATGTATGTATAGATGGATGGATGCGTATGTCTGAAATATTTCTATATAGCTCGAGTTTGCAGGTCAGGCGTGTCATGCTCGGTCTGCCCTGTTCGCGTCGGTTTGCAAAACTTCCAGATTTCGTGAGCGATCAGTTTTTCTGCTTTCGGTATTCTCCCTAATCCCTAAACCCCAATGATGCCTAATCCTCAATCCCTTAGCTCGAAACCCTAGATCGGAGGTGGTTCGGAGGAGCTGCAGCCAGATGCCGTCTTGCACCGAGCTGAGTCGCCAGGTTCACCAGGCCTCATCATGCCTCATATGCTTGGCGCGCGCAGGGCAGGGTTTCGTTGGGTTTCATACAGGTTTGATCAGGGTTTCACTGAGGACTTCGTGTGTTTTTCAGAACTTGATAAGGCAACCAGCGCAGTGACATGAACAATTGTAACTTCGTTGTCAGTTCGTAAGTCCCTTTGACTTTTGGCATGCGGCCGTTAAAAACAAAAGATCGTCCGCAAATCGGCCCTGAGTGCCACCGTTTCCCCGAACCACCACGGCACGGTACTTCCGTTCCCTAAACCCCAAAGGTACAAAATGCAATGATTCGCAAGAGCTCCGAAGAACAGAGGTTCTGGGGGATAGAGCCCTCGCAGCTTGAAACGTTGACAGATTGCTCAGGCGCGGGCCGCTTCTGGCAGATGCGGGGTGGCTGGCCGGGACCTTGGCTGAGAAAGCAGCTTCCCTGACCTCTTCAGGGTTTAAGACTAAGATTTTTTCGGGGCGGGTCGTCGAGGCTAGCTGAGAGTCAAAACAACCTTCACTTGCTCCAGAAGTGGAAGTGACCCAAATCCTTTCTCGTTCCTGTTGTGTCACGATTCGGCTTGCACAGATATAGGTAAGGTGGGCACCGGCAAGCATACTAAAGTTTGAATGCCGGTGCTAGACTCACGCAGAGCAGGAGCCCGAAATCGTTTATCAACGCGAGATCTTTCTGCCCATTGGCGATTGGTTGTCTGATAAGCAGAGTATGTCGCTGAAACCACATCTGCAATCCCAGCATGGGTCGCCGGTGTCATTATTGCGACGCAGATGAGAGTCAGCTGCTGGGCCTCTGAACTGGCATGCGCAGACTGTGCGCAGTCCTAGTGTTAAACTCAGCGCACATGGTGTTCTCTTGAATGTCCTTCACGGGCAGTCGACATGAATTAAACTGTGGTTCGTTCTTGCTCGACAGCGTGACGCGCCACCGAAACCACACTTGCGGCCGGCAGTTTTCTTGGCAGCGGGTGTCAACAGAGTTGCGCACAAAGGTAGGTGGGCCTCTGAACCGGCAGGTGTGATGAGCGTCACTTGCCGGTGCTAAGCTGCACACACAGAGACGGAGCCCGTGCTTGCTTTGGCGACAATGCCGTCTCTCCATCCGGACAGCCCTGGTCTGTCTGCTGCCAATCCAAGCAGGTCGCTGTCAATATCGTGAGACAAAGGAAGGTGTACTGGGGTTCTCAACTGGCACGTTCGGGCTGCACACAGTCTTGGTGTTGAACTCTGAGCACATGGCACTGCTTGTACATATGTCCCTCGTGGGTAGGTGTGCTGCGCATTCATTTAAGCCTTTGGTTTGTCCTTGCTCGACAGCGTGGGACGCCACCGAAACCACACTTGCGGCCGGCACTTTTCTTGGCAGCGGGTGTCAACAGAGTTGCGGACACAGATAGGTGGGCCTCTGAACCGGCAGGTGTGATGAGCGTCACATGCCGGTGTTACGCCACACGAGCAGAGAGAACGTTCCAATCAAAAAACCATGAGACATGGCATGGCTGGAAGATGTTGAAAGCGCTCGCGGCGGGAAAGGTATGTCGTCCTTACAGGAAAATCTGCTCTGCCCACGGACCCGAAGCTCGCCCTCACGTTCCCCTGTGCTTTTCATCTCCCAGGTGTTTCGTCTCCGTTCCGCGGACTTGTCCAACCTCCTCGGCCGCTCGGGGCGAATGCGTGGAGAAGGCGCTGAAAGACATTTTCGGACAGCTTGCTGCTCCTGGTCATCATCATCGTCACCATCATCATCATCATCATCACCAGCATCATCATCACCTTCATCATCACCATCGAGTCATCACCATCAGAATCATCATCTTCATTTCCATCATCATCATCATCATCAAATCATCACCATCAGCAGCATTATCATCATCTTCATCATCATCTTCATCTTCATCATCGTCATCATCATCATCGCCATCGTCATCACCATCATCATGTTCATCACCATCATCATCATCATCGCGATCCTCCTCCTCCTCCTCCTCATAATAATCATCATCTTCTTCATCTCCGTCGTCATCATCATCGTCATCGTGGTCATCATCATCAGCATCTCCATATTTTTGTTTTAATTATTGCTGCAAATTGCAAAGGGCAGCAGAATTATCATTATGGCCCACCACCACCGCCACCACCACCAGCAGCATCATTCTCATGCCCATAGCAGTGATTGTCGAGGCTGTAGCGATCATTATGATGATGATGGTGATGATGAGAGAGAAGACGGTGACGGTTCTGATGATGGAGATGATGATCGCCATCTTCGTCGCATCACCATCGCTATGGGGCTTTTCTTGATCACCAGACAGCATCATCCTTACCACGGCTGTCGCAAGAGTGCCATCTTAGCAACAGGTTGCTGTGTGTCGTCGCGCGTTTGCACTCGGCATGAAACCCTGCACTCAAGAATCATTTTACAGTGCCATACGGGCTTTCTTCGGTGATTTGAAGCCCACCTTTCGTCCAGGGATCGCGGAGCTGGTCCAGGTGCCAATCCCGCAGCCGTCCAAAGCTGTGTCCCAGCTGCAACTGAGTCTGGAGTTCTGTCCGAAGGAGTTTTGAGCTGCTCTTGCATGTGAGCATGTGGTGCGCCGAATCTGTGCATTCCTGTCACTGCCTTCAGGGCGGATTACACACCTCCCAGCCCAACGATCAGAGAACGGGTCTCCAAACAAGTGTCTCTGCGAAGCCAAGGCCGTGCCGGCAGATCCATTCTTCGGTTGCCTGTCTGGGTTTCATGCAGTTCAACACCGGGGAGCCCCGAAAAGAGCTTGGGGTCAAGAAGTCAAGTTTTCATTCAGAACCTAGGATTTGCTTTGCTTGGTAAGAAGCGGTCCACATCTACGTTCTATTGAGTGAAAAGATTTTGGCCGCAGACATAGGATTTGGGGGTTGAGGGAATTGCCTCAAAGTGGCATAGATCTAGAGTCTACCGCAAGAGGTGTAGCGTGCGTCTGTTCTTTGTGTCTTAGTTGTAGCTATACTGTGCTCCTGCGCGTTGCTGCTATTGGGTTATGACTTCTCATGTATAGTTCTGGCTGTCATTAGTATACTGGTGGATATTGCGAAGCAGACGTACTCTGCTTCTGCTCTGTCGCTTTATAGTTAGAGGAGCTTGGACGAGAATGGCCAGAATGGCCGTAGCAGTGCGATTGCAAGTTGTGTCGCAGATGCAGGTGCCGTTGCGGTGGCCACTCTTTCTCTTCTCCTCCGACTCTGGCTGGGACTTTTGAGTTTCTGTCGGGCTATTGTCATTGTCCTTGCCCTAAAACTGCTGTTGATCTCGTGGCTTCTGCTGCTACGACTACCAGGATAGAGCCGCTCTATCAGAAACACGGCTTGGCTCATGCCCGCGGAGGAAAAATTCACTTCACAGCTCTTAAAACCATTTCTTGCTTGGCGCGTTGAGTGGGATCTCGTTTGCAGTGGAGCCAGGTCTGCTCCGTGATGCGGCGAGAAAGTTTCGGCCACGGCAGAGGGACCAGAGCGAAATTGGCAAAGGTTCCGGCACTCGATGAGGAGCCTCCTAATGTCCTGTCGTCCTCACGATGGGCCAAAGTGTCCACACGTCAGGTCAATGCCGAGCTGCAGAGTGCTTGTTTATTTCGAGCGCACTGGAATCGGCTGAGCCATTGCAGTTGCTAATTGTTCAGGAAGCATCCGTGAAGAGGCGTTTCCTCAACACATGGATCGCTTAGCATCGTAGGTAGAGTCGATTCGCTTCAACTCGCACATCTTTAGGCTGCGAGCACTGGACCAATGAGAGGGGGTTTCAGAGGGCACACTCTCGTGAAATGTCAAGAGAAGCACGAGCTGCTGAAGACCTGTGTCGAAAACTTCCAAGTGGCTGCAGTACTCCCCCGTTGCGACTTCCCAACTCCATGTGCTAAGTGGGAGTCTTGATTCGCTTGTTGCATGTCATGGAAGGTGGCAGACGCCAGCGTCCACGCACAATCACAATGCATCATCGCCTCCATGGTGTATCATCGCCATCATCGTCGGCATGATCATGGTCCTGATTATGATTCTGTTCATGAATGACGCCCCTCCTCCTCCTCCTCCTCAGCCTCGGCCTCATCATCATCGTCGTCTTCGTCGTCGTCATCATCAGCAACACCAGCCCCACAGAACACACCCGCAGCACACCCGCAGCACACCTGCAGCACACCCGCAGCACACCAGCAGCACACCAGCAGAACACCGCATCAGCACCGTCAGACCATCATCACCGTCGCCGCCAGCATCATTATCACCATCATCAGCGTCAGCATCAGTGCCAGCGTCGGCGTCTTCTTCTTCGTTTCATTCTTATTCGTCATCATCGTCATCGTCCTCGTCATGGTCATCGTCATCGCTCGTTACGAGACATCTGCTGACCCGCACTACCACTCAGCAGCATAGCTTTCTGCAGTGCCTTGCGGGACAGCATAGCATTCAGTGAAGTCCAGGAGATTCGAGACTTGAAGTGTTGAGAACATCTCTTGCCTGGCCTGCAGAGCGAGCGCCTCCGCGTCCAAAGCCAGCGTCGATGCCAGGATCTTCTTGGGAGGGATTCCTGAGCGCTTCATCGCCTCCCGGGCCTCCCTTGCGAAGGGATCTTCCTGCTCTCCTCCCCTTTTGGCCCCTCGGCCCTCTTGAATTGCCGCAGGAGCTTGGCAGGGCCGAAGCTGCCATGCTGCGGCTTCTCGAGGCTGTCACAGAGTTCGGGGGGCCTTCTTAGTAGAGACTGATGAAGAGTCTCCTGTGTTTCTGTCTTCAAGGGCCGTAATGAAAAAAGTTATGTGCTACCCTGGAAGTCGCGAAGCTCCACACCGTCAACTCACAACAGCTGAACGGCCTGAAATTGAACCTCGAAGTTCCCAAACCCTCGAGCCGTGAAAACGACCTGGAAAGGCCGTGGAAGCTCGTGGCCCAAGCACTCCATCAGGTGCATTTCTTATCTCTTCTTGGGTTCCTCGGGTGGAAGCCGTTCTCTGACACTGCACTGAGAGCAGAAAGGTGGCTGTCGTTATTTGTCGTGTTCCTTGGATGGATTCTTCTAGGCTTGTGGGCGATCTTTACTTGTTTCCGTCTGTAATCAACTGCGGCGTCGTACACAAATATTTGAAGCAGGTTCACGGACACCTGGGCCCTCCACAAATGCCGCAACAGACCTTTGTACCTGCAACGACGTTCCCTCTAAGCAGCTTGTTTATCTTCGAGAGCAGACTAGGAAATTCGTTCTGCTTCCGAGTTTGAACTTCGTGGATCTGCGGTGGTAGGTAGCTGCAGGAATCTGTCAAATTGGATTTGTTGGAACACTCCACAACGGCTTTTCCCACAGTTCAGTGATGGTCTAACTTGCGAGCTTGCCTGCATTCTGCTTGCACTGCCAGTTTGCCGCGTAGGGCCGCCGCCTTACTGTTGCAGTACGAAGTTGCAAGCCAGACAAGCTACCAAATCAACAGACGCGTCCTTGAGGACTCAAAAACTAACGTTCGATTCCCTAGACTCCGTGAGACTGAGTCCGATACGATGCCACTGCGGGACAGGTCCCTCCACGCCGCAGACTCAGCCAAGCTTGAGCCTGCCCGAGTGACCGAAAAAGGAGCGCAGTCTGGAGCTCCTGAACCCGTAACACTCAACAGCCTCTAAACCCCCTGAGACCCCAAAGCCTAAACTCCGAAATGGGAACGTGGAAATAAAAATTAGCCTCAGCTTTCCCTGTGTGCCAGTAGTTCACCTTGTAGTTCCTTCGAAGAACTCGTCCAGATGCCAAAGTGGCAGACTGGGACCTGGGCTCTGCCAAAACTTTGATTCACTGGCCTCAAAGCACAGAAGATTTCTGAGTTTATGCAACGCTAAGACTTCGTCTGAGGCAGCGTGGTTGCGCGAGCGATCTTAGAAGCACAGCCCAAGCACTGTGAACCGGGTTTTGGGATCCCCTCTTCCTGCCAGCTGTGGCTCAAGCAAAGAGCCCCAGAGATCGGGGAGAGCGCGACCCCAAAGCCGGGAACCACCCGCATCCCTGTCGAGGACCTTCCGCAAGGTTTTCAGGGAGGGATGCCGGAGATACCGAGGTGCCAATAAAGAGCCTACTGTAAACCCTAAACGGGTCACTGAAGCTTTCTGCAGAAGTGTAGAGGCTTCCTGTCGTGCAGCATCCAAGAGACCTCGAACCAGAAGATCGGAACCCCAAACCCCTAAAATGGGCTTGCCGGGGATGCTCGAAAAGTCCGATGCACTCTACCTGAGTTCGTAACTCTTCCGACACGGGATCCCCACTGTCGGAGTAGGAGTTTTGCTTTGCGAACCCCCCCGGGTTCGAAGTCGGAAGATCAAAGAACGAAGCCGTCACTCCCAGAGGATGTTGGTACCGGAGGCAGGAGCCGAGGTTACATGTTACATGATCTGCTATAGTACATGCAAAATATGGATATTGTCGAGATTGCGTATTCTATATGGTGTGTCTTAAATCTTAGGAAAAACCTCTAAAAATGTTTTGAGTATGCTATATATAATTTCAGGGTCCAAAGGAGACCTGCAAAGTGCAAGGTTTTAAAGGCCGAGGTCACTGTCAGGTCGGTCTGAGCTTCAGAGAGGAGAAGTGTCCGAAGTTAGTTTCGTGCTGACGTGTGCAACTGAAGTTGAGAGTAGAGATTTTTGCATCTGAGACGCGGACTTCTTGCGGGGCAATGTAATCTCTACCGAAAGTCTAGAAAAGGGGCGGGGCGTGCCAGGCGCAGACTCGGGCGCGGAATGGGAGGGGCATCCTGGCCTTGGCCCAAGAGCGCCGCTGCGCCGCGTGCTGCCCACGTATGGGTACTTGGTATGGGAGAAGGGAAACAGAAGTGTCCAGGCGAGTATAGGAAAAAAACTAATATGTATAAATAAATAAATATAAATATATATATATATATATATATATATATATTTACATAATATGGGCCTCGGAGTTTCCTGGCCCGGCCAGAAGCAGGTCGCTGCGGTTGTCGCCATCGCAGCATTCTCCCTGAGCTACGTGCGGCCGAGCTTCGTTCCGCCAGCAGCCCGGAGTCCATGGTTGCCCTCGCCTAGCCGGAGCAGCTGCTCTGTTCGACCTCTTCACTGCAGTATTGTGAGGAGGCAGAGGGAACGTGTAAACGAAGCTATTGAGCATCCTCTCCTGGCAAGAGTCGTTTCGCCTGCATCCTACATGGCCAAGCGCTTGAGCTGGTACCCTGGACCAGAAGCTCTTGACTGCCTGCTGTGAGGCCCCCGGCAGCTCACAATGCGAAGATGGCCAAGGACCTCCGCGTTCGATTCGTGAGACTTCTTCTGTTGAAGACTTCGACTATCAGTGAGCACGAGTGCACGCCCCAGGAAGAGCTGGTGCATGTCTCAGACGAGCGCTGGATTGTCTGTTGGAATAGGGCTGAAGGATATTCGGCTTCCCATGGTTCATGAGGTTGAAGAAGCCAACAGAAGCTTTGAACATAGGAGGTTTTCCTGGTAAGCACGGGGAAAAAACAAAGAGTGCGAAGCCTTTTAGTCGGCCCCACGCTTGCTCAGAGGCCCCATGGGATGGGCTGCAGGACTGCCTGGAGGACGGGACTTCGAAAGGGCGCAGCAATGTGGAAGTTGAAAAAGTTATGTTTGCAGGACGGGGTGGACGGTGCGCTGACAGCTCCGAGCTGAGTTGATGTGTGGTCCGAGTAGGGAGCCTGTGGATGGCGAACGCAGCGACCAGAGGCTGTGGAAGACTTTTTCAGCTCAGCAGATGAGCTCGTGGGCCCTTCTCTGTTCCTCGGCCTTGTTTCGAGCCACACCCGGAGATGGGGGGTGTCGGAATCGTTGGCTTTGGGCCAGGAATCCACAGCTCCTTCCGGCCGCTGGTGCGCCCGCTCCAAAGAAGCCGGCTGCTGGGCCCAGACTTCAACTTACCGGATCAAACTGGTGGTTGAAAAACTGAAAGAAGGGGTCCACTCTGAGTGCAAGTTGGTACGCACCCTCCAGGACGGCCTGCAGCAGGTGATCGAGCCCCTGACGAAGCTTTACATGCGCTACAGGCGCACACCTACCCGAAATGCCTTGACAGTTTCAAAGTTGCCAGGTTCGTTCAACAACGCAGCTCTCATCGCTATCCCTAGAACAAGATACCCAACAACTACAGAACACGGATAGATGGGTTACCTTTAAGGGTTCCTTTATCGGGAACTCCTCAAGCCTCGAAGAGCTCGGCTCCAGAGCGTCTGCCCCTTGGTGCATCGCCAGGACCGCCATCTATCCTCGCTGCAAGGAGTGCAAAATCGTGACGTCCCCAGGATTTTGGATAACTTAGCGTTTGCAGCAGAACCCATTCATTTGCTATCTCTTTAGATTTTTCTGGCGGTGAGGGGGACAGGCCTGCGAGGTGCAAAGCCCTAGACCTTCATGTTCCGAAGCATGGACCCCAACAGAAAAACAGCATCTTGCGAGCCCTGGCTCCGATCGTCTGCCAGATCGTCCGCTTCGGAAAGCTTTGGCGAACCTGCCGCATCCGCAGGCACAAGGCGCAACG